AGGGGAGGAGTAGCGCGCGACTACAGCGGCGTACAAGGTCTGAGCACTCTTGTACTGACTAAAGTGCGCACGCTCGGAGGTAGGGAGGTGGCGACGCACAGCAAGACGTGCAGCAGCATCGCGCGTGGCCCACTGGGAGCGAACAGTGGCGTCAGCATCAGCAGCAGGGGCAGGGGAAGCGCCAGAGGTGAGGTCAAAGAGAGAGAGGCCGTCCGCCCTATCGCACTGTAAGAACAGCTGTAGGTCATCTACCCAGACCTCAAAGTCAATGGCCCGACCCTCAGCGTCAAAAGTGAGGACACTAGGGGTAGCCATGACAGCAGTAGACTAGCAGTGCAAGGAGTAGGGGAAGAGCACGCAGTGACAGAGGGTCTGTGCTCACCGGACAGGGCTGCTCGGGCGGCTCGGCTGCAGGGCGGCTCGGCCGCTGGGCGGCTCGGCGACTGGGCGGCTCGGCAGCTGGGCGGCTCGGCGGCTGGGCGGTCGGCTGCACGGCGGCTCGGCTGGTGGGCGGCCGGGCGGCTCGGCTGCAGCGCGGCTCGGCGGCGGGGCGGCTCGGCTGCTCTGCTGCTGGGCGGCTCGGCTGCGCTGCTGTTGGGCGGCTCGGCTGGGCCGCTGACGTAGGGCGGCGGGGCCGCTGTAGAGGAGTGGCGGGGCCGCTGCAGAAGGACGGCGGGGCCGCTGGGTAGTGAGGCGGCGGGGCCGCGAAGACGGGCGGCGGGGCCGCTGCAGAGAAGCGGCGGGGCCGCAGTGAAGGGCGGCGGGGCCGCAACGAGAGAGGCGGCGGGGCCGCAGCGAGAGAAGCGGCGGGGCCGCGAAGTCGGGCGGCGGGGCCGCTGAGTAGGGCGGCGGGGCCGCAGTGAGAGGCGGCGGGGCCGCAGCGAGAGAGGCGGCGGGGCCGCGAAGACGGACGGCGGGGCCGCTGAGACGGGTGGCGGGGCCGTAGTGAGTGGCGGCGGGGCCGCAGCGAGAGATGGCGGCGGGGCCGCGAAGACGGGCGGCGGGGCCGCAACGAGAGAGGCGGCGGGGCCGCAGAAAAGGGCGGCGACGGGCCGTAGGCGGCGCGAAGCCGCAGGTAAGGGCGGCTACGGGCCGGGGCGGCTCGAAGCCGCAGGTAGAGGCGGCGCGAAGCCGCGGGAAGGGCGGCGACGGGCCTGGGCGGCGCGAAGCGGCAGGTAGGGCGGCGCGAAGCCGCCGGTGAGGGCGGCGCAAAGCCGCGGGTAAGGGCGGCGACGGGCCGGGAAAAGGGCGGCGCGCCGCAGCCGCTAGGGCGGCTCGACGCGACCGTAAGGGCGGCGCGACGGGCCGCTGGGTGCGACTCGACGGGCCGCTAAAAAAAAAAAGGCAGGCGCGACTCGAGGCGCGTTTCGGTGGGCCCAAGGAACAGTCCCTAGGAGGGGACCTGCTCTGATACCATGTGAGAATGAGAACGAGAATGAGTGAACTATGAAAATGAAGTGAGTACAAATATGAAACCCTAATTGGTTGTACCCCCTATGGGATACCCCACTATAGCCTACACAACAGCATAAGCTATAACGTTCTGACAGGCAGCACCTCTAGTACCAGAACCTCCAGCACCGCAAGCTCCAGCACTGCCAGCACCTCCAATACCTGAACCTCCAGCACCGCCAGCTCCAGCACTGCCAGCACCTCCAGCGCCAGTACCTCCAGCATCGCCAGCTCCAGCACCTCCAGCGCCAGCACCTCCAGCACCAGAGTCGTCGTGTTGTTAGCAACAGGGTCAGAGGGGGCCGAAGAGACCTCCAAAGGCTCAACCAAAGGGGTTGGTGCGACCAGAGACACACCTGAGGGAGCAGGAGGCGAAGGGGGGGAAGGGTCTGGCGGAGGGTAACTTGGAACCAGGAAGAGAGGCAGGGGGGCCACCGGGGAACTGCGGTGGGGGAATCTGGTGTCCCCTCCGGTTCTGTGCATCGCCGACCCATCAAAGCCGTTTGAAGTTGTAACCGACGCCTCGGATTTCTCCATCGGCGCGGTACTCCTCCAAGACTTCGGGAACGGTTTGCAGCCTATCGCCTACGAGTCACACAAGCTGCAGGCAACCGAGCGCAAAAACTCGATACATGACATCGAGATGCTCGCCATTATTCACGCATTCAAACTGTGGCGCTGCTACTTGACGGGCGCCGACGTCACTGTTCGCACGAACCACAAACTCAGTGGCTCGACTGCATGGAGTCGCATTTCATCTACCGCATCGCGTGCGAGAAAGGGGCGAATAACCTCTCCGACGCCCTTACCTGGCCGACAGGAACATCCGCTGCAGTATTGATCACCCATTCGAACCCATTACTTACATGACTATTCACCCACGGCTATACTACAGACCCGTTCTTCACGACTGGGAATCCCCAGCAGCGATGACGCAAAAGGGGAATGATTACCTAAAACCCGGAACTGCCCTGATTTGGGTTCCCGCTTACTGGCTGCTGCGTGAACTTCTCATCCTGGAGGTCCACAATTCCAATCTCTCCGGACATTTCGAGGTTGACGAAACCCAAAACCTGTTGCACCGTCATTATAATTGGCCAGACTCATCCTCTGACGTGCAGCGTTATGTGTCCTCATGTAGAGTGTGTCGTGCAATGAAGTCTACACGGCAATGGCGAGCTGGATTGTTGCAACCCCTGGAGCCAGCCGAGCGACCATGGCAACAGGTGACGATGGATTTCGTCACGGAGTTGCTAGCTGGCCCGTTCGGCAACGACACGGTGCTCGTTGTCGTCGACTGCCTTACAAAAAGGGCACTCTTCGCACCATGTCGCACGACCATCACAGCCGAAGATACTCCACGCATGCTCATCTCAACTGTTGTGCGACTGCACGGCACCCCGTCACTGACCGTGAGCGACCGGGACCCGAAGTTCACTTCAAAGTTTTGGAAAGAGGCGTGGGCGTAGTACGGCACAATGCTACAGTTCTCGTCGTCCTACCACCCGCAAACTGACGGCCGGCCCGAGCGGACTAATCAGACAATGGAGAAGCTCATCCGCATGAACTGCCCCGACCCTGCTCGCTGAGAAAAGTCGCTCGCCATGCTGGAGTTCGCGTACAACAACGCCCCATCCAGCACGACTAATCACGACCCTTTTTTTTTCCGAATCACAGGATGGACCCGGTCCTGAGGTTACAACACTTCGTGATAGAACACCAGGAGATCCGCGAGAAAGCGGCCGATGCTATTCGCAGGGCCAACACAACCGCCCGCAAATACGCGGGCCTTCTACGACGGGAAATTTTCTTGACAGCCGGACAACTAGTGCTGCTCGACACGAAAAACCTACGCCTACCCGGCTCGTCAAAACTACGCGCACGATTTTGTGGACCTTTTCGTATCAAGATGGTGACACCTGTCACCGCGAAGCTGCTGTTACCTGACGACTGCGTGTGCCCGTAACGACGGACGTCGCCCGCCAGAGTCGCGTGTCGGTTCCGGAATAAGGCGGGCTGTCAAGGCGGCACGTGGATTTTCTAGTCCGCTGGACTGGCCGCACCAGTGAAGACGGGACTTGGGTGCCATCCGCCTCGTTTGAAGCTTCCCTGCTTCTTGGTGATTACCTCGCCCGCAAGAGAGCTGCTGGTGTTGACCACCTTTCTAACGAGGGGAGATGGGTTGGTGGGGTGGGGGGGGGGGGACGCGTACAACCCCGTCATTTCGGACTCAACACGTTCGGCCGACATTCACGATGTCGATGCTGCCCCGCGTTGCCTTCGGGTTTCCGCTCGCCAAACATGCACCCAACATCGCATTCTCGAGGTTCCCCCTTAGCTAGGCTAGCCAATATATTATCACGTTGCCTTCATTGTATTGTCAGTTCATTGAGTCACAGCCTTGTTACTCGTTATTCCGCGCAACTCTGTTTTACAACCCACAACAGAGGCGAACCACCCTAAAACCACTTGTACAATGCATGTACATTGAGCTAAGCCGCATAACGATTGCCGTCATACTGAATCCCCAAGGATTCTCACGACCTCACAAGTATATTATGCTAGAAGAATAAGGCAAGGAGATGGAATAACGTCAATGTGGGTTTTGTGGAGGCATGAGTGCAAGTCAGAAAACCATATATTGTTTGTTAGATATATATCCTGAAGAAAGCTAAGGGCTATGAAATACACTGAAATCTGTAGTCGATCAAAACCGAGTACAGTTAAAAACCTCGCGTTGAATGTGCACCCTGGAGTCGCAGTTACACCTCGATGTGCCACTATGCGAATGGCTGCTGCCAAATTCGAATGGCTGGAAAAGTCAAATTGCTTGCGGATTGGTCGTGCTTCCTAGCGAAAGATGGTCTGTAAACGAGTCCTCCCTAACCGCCGGGCTTCATGTATTGTTACAAGCACTCTTGAAGTAACGCGCCGCATTTCTGAAAGTTGAACTCAAAACGCTGGGCAGCATGAACATATCAAATGGCCCTGGTAATACTTTCTGTACGAACTCTCGCGTCCTCTGATGAGGTCTAGGAGTTTCGCACCCACCCCATAGACCGTAAGTGCAATGTTTACAGAATCACGCAGTGGTGAATGCAACCTGTAAATAAAACCCGTAGGTGCTCACACGATTCACCCTTACACCTCAACTGTCGTGATCACTGGGGGGCATTAGCCCCTCTGCGCTTCCTCCCAGTCAAGGGCTGGGCTGAGCTTTCCGCGCTTCGATTTCTCCAGCCATCAGATTGAGCCGCAATATGCTGACTGGCCCTCCCTCCGATCCGACGACTCCTACTACCGAATTACCCCTGGCCAAGGCACTTATGCGGTACGCCCTACCGCGCGGTTCCTTACAGAAAGTCATATAAATCCGCGCTTCTAAGTACCTTCAGCCATCAGTTCCACTTACGCTTCATCTTCATCATTCATCAGTCTCTCTAAAGTGCTGCTGCGGCAGCCCTCACTCAGACTCTACATTTCCCACCACTACCTTCCATTCCGCGGTACTCCAGTGAACTCTTTGTGAGCTCGTTCTCTTCGCGAAGATGGAGCTCGCTTCGATAAAGCGGGCTGCGATATGGGTATTCGCTGGACTAGGCCTCGCGCTGGCGATAATCTCCTGCTGCGAGATGGCGGACAACTATCTCGTCCTCTCCCACCCTGACGCCTGCATCGCGTCGTCCAACGGAACCCACTGCGCGGCAGAGTTCCGCGTGGCGCGGCGATCCCTAGGCGTGGTGCCGCAGACGGCGGAGCAAGTGACCTCAGCCATGATTGTGGCGGTGCAAGCGCAAGTCGCGGCGCTAATCGACGCGGCCGACGAGATTAAGTCAAGCAACGTGCGGAACGATCATTTCATAAACGCCATGGCGAGGAGCTGCGCGCGACAGGCTAACATTGCGCTGCGCTACCTGGAGCAGGTGGGGGATGCGGTCGAGGCGGGCACGAATCAGCGCGACGTGCCGTACTGGTTGGCAGCCGCCGATACGCAGATCGACAACTGCGTTGACGGTTTCCAGACTTTCTCGCCCGCAGCGCAAGGCTTCCCCGCTTACGTGCATCTCGAGGTTCGTTACAATCCTGATATCAAAATCTTAAACACAGATGTTAAAGTTAAGAGGGCCGCATTTGGATTCATTTGTTAGAGACTCCTGTTTCGAGCACCCCAAAAGCTCTCATTTCTCGCATCTTTTCAAAGAAAACGTCATCTTGCTCGGTGCAACAGCAACGCTGGTTCATTCGTTATTTCTCCCTTCCCCCCTCTCCCCCGCTACCCGCTTCCTTCCCGCAGTACACTGCTAAGAAAGCGGGCAGCACGCTTGGCGCCCTCGTTTCAATCACCAACGCCGCCGCGAAAGCCGTTGCTACCAGCGGGGACGATGAGGTGGCTGTGCGTGGACGAAGCATGGCCGTTCAATCAAGCAGCCCGGATTGGCTTGAGCCGGGCTTGTACGAGCAGCTGCAGGAGCTTCAAACGAGGCTGAATGCCGAACTTGCCGTTGCGGACGGAGGGGATTTGGAGGGCGGTTCTATCTTGAGGAGGCAGCTCCGCCACCGCCATAACAAGAAGAAGAAGAATAAGAAGAGCAGCGGCAGCAGCAAGAGCAACAGCAGCAAGTCCCCAAGCAAGAGCAGCAGCAGCAGCAGCAGCAAGAAGAGCAGCAAGAAGAGCGGCGGCAAGAAGAGCGGCAGCAAGAAGGGCAGCAAGAAGAGCGGCAAGAAGAGCGGCAAGAAGAGCGGCAGCAAAAGCGGCATCAAGAGCGGCAAGAAGAGCGGCAGCAAGAGCGGCAAGAAGAGCGGCAGCAAGAGCGGCAAGAAGAGCGGCAGCAAGAAGAGCGGCAGCAAGAGCGGCAGCAAAAGCGGCATCAAGAAGAGCAGCAAGAAGACCGGCAAGAGCAGCAGCAACAAAAGCAGCAAGAGCGGCAGCAAGAAGAGCGGCAAGAAGAGCGGCAGCAAGAGCAGCAGCAAGAAGGCGTCACCGTCCTCCGGCGCAATGGTTGCCGGCCCGTCCCTTGCGGCCAGCGCGACCGTCGGGAAGGGATACAAGTCTATCCAGGACGCCGTTGATGCCGCTCCTGGCGGTTCGCGATTCGTGATCTACATTCCCGCGGGAACGTACAAGGAGCAGGTGCTGATTGATACGACGGATATCGTTCTGATTGGTGCGGGCGCGGATAAGACGATTATTACGGGCGACGCGAGTTACGGCAGCGGGTCCGGGACCTACGAGTCGGCTACAGTTGGGGTGGATAGCGATAGGTAATGCCGCCTTTTCCCTTTTCTGCCCTTTCTACCCCTGTCTGCCCTTACCTCTCTCACCCCTTTCTGCCCTTCTCGCTCTCACCCCTTTCTGCTCTTCCCTCTTATTCCCCGCCCTCGGAGTTTGCTTCGTATCCCACTCACGGCTTCCTGCTTTTCTCTTCCTGCCCTTACATCACGTACCCACCCACCTGGTAACCACACGACAGGTTCGTGGCTTTCGGCATCAAATTCGTCAACACGGCAGGCCCGGAGAATCACCAAGCAGTTGCGTTTCGCGCCACTGGTGACCAATCAGCTCTTTTCAACTGCGCGTTCGAGGGATCGCAAGATACATTATATGTGGACGCGGGACGGCAGTACTACAAAAACTGCTACATCGGCGGCACGCAGGACTTCATTTTCGGCGACGCGGCTGTGGTCATCGATGCTCCGAAGATTCAGCTGCACCCGAGTCCCTCTTTTGGAACTCTAACGGCGTCGGGGCGCAGTAAGGATACGCCAACCGGGATTGTGATCCGCGATGCGAATGTCGCGGCGGATAGCGGTACTACCAGGGTGTATCTGGGCCGTCCGTGGAAGAAATGCGCCTTCACGGTGTTCATCAACGCCAATCTCCCCGCGGTAAGCATCACCTGTTCCAGTTTCATCTGCCTGCACAAGTTCCACCGACTCACCCACCATCCCCCCTCCTTCCCACCCGCCCATCCCCACTCCGCATCGTCACTCCCATCTCCCATTTAAACCCTTCAAATGGCTGGCTGTTGTGAAACGAGGGCAAGTGCATTCATGCTTACTTTCATTCTCGCCTTCCCACCTCCCCATCCGCCCATCCCCCATTCCCTTTCAGGCGATCGAGAAGGACGGTTGGCTGTCGTGGAACGAGGGCAGCTGCATGTTCCTCGCGGAGGCAGGCAGTAAGGGGCCTGGCGCCGCGTCTTCCCGGGTGGACTGGGCGGAGCCTGGGATTATCACGGACGTCAGCGGATACGATGCTAACTCTTTCACGGAAGTCAACAGCTGGCTCAAATTGTCAGGCTAGTGTTTATGCTAACTTTATTATCAAAAGCTGCAGCAGTAGCGGTCATAAGGACACTGGTATGCAATGGCCGCGGAAGCGCCAAACCGGTTTAGGAGTTCGATGCTCTTAGGAGTTAGTGGTAAGCTTCTTTGACGAAGCTGCATAGTTTGGGGAGGTTCTTAGCAGGAGTTTTAGTATTTGTTTTGTGGGGTTTTGTTTAGATCCAATTTATGGATTGTTAATTATAACCTTTTGTTGCTATGGCCCCAAATTTTGTTGTTCCATTTGTCATGGGAAAAACATTGCATTTTCAGTTCGCCTAAAGAACCCGCACTCTCATAACACAATGCAGAGCAGTTCTTCCAGCCTCTATTAGAGGACAAGTGTAAAAATATGCTGTAGCTTTCTCTGGCCTTCTGCATTTCAGCTAGTTTGGTGTGTTATATGCAATCGAAACATTCAATATAAATCGAGCTTGGACTGACATCTTCTGCTCAACCTCACACGTGACGCATTCCCTATGGCTCGGCCGTCGCGGGTGAGCCGCGTGATTGCTCGAATCACCGAAGTGAGTGAAAAAGCGCGCGAACTCAAATTCGCGTTCCCGCGGCGGTGGTAACCAGTGCAACGATATGTTCTGTTAAGTTCGCCGTCAGAACTCGCAAACAATCAGGATGATCAACTGACAGAGAGTTTTTTTCGAGATTCAGGTCAAGAATAGATTCAGTTACCTTGCAGACCGTACACCAGTCAGTCAGAAATACACCAGTTATTCGATAATATCACGCGCCGCGTTTGGGGCGGCGGTGATTGTTGCTTTCGCCTGGTGCTTTTATCGTTTCAGTGTCACATTTCCCTGCCTATTGCGCCTTTGCTCCCAAAATGTGATTGTAGTTACGTTTTTTTAACTGTAGGCCGGCCTGCCCTAATCATTTGTACAGAAATTGCCTCGTCCTTAGCGCAATTACGTAAAACTGTAGCATATTTCCACCAGATTTCTTCACCATTTTGCATATGAATGCTTAGTTGACCACGCGTGTGGTCATCATAAAATTCGATTCGATGTGACATAAACGCATCGCTCCCAACCTTTTATGTGAACGTACCGAGCAGGTAGCATTATCGCATGTGGTTCAAACGAATAATAGGGTGTAGTTGCTTGTGGTGACTACTAGCGCGTTTCTTACAATCTTAGAGGTCATCAGACTCATCCGACGCGTGTCATTCCACTTTTTTTATGCGATCCCCTGTCGTGTAGATAGCACGAAGATAGTGCGTTCTTAACGACTTTCATGGCTACTCAGCTCGAGTACACCCTGCCAGTATAGACAAGGGATCTGACCGTTGACTGAGGAATAATGGATTACCAGGTGTTTTTAGTCCGACTGCCTGGTCATACCCGGCCTACTCGTAACATATCTAGGCTGCTTAGAGTATCCGAGCAAGGAATCTCTATATCAACCCTAACTCCCGCGAATCCGACGATTCTAGACTTCACCTTCGAGCAAATCGCGAACCTCCGTTGCTCGGAATCGGACGGCCAGGAATTCTCTTTCGATGTAGCTGGAGTCTCGCACACTTATGCGTGTTCGACTCGAGAGATTCTTCTCACATCTCTATACAACAGACTCGACGAAGTCAATGGCATTGGTAAGTCATGTCGTTACGACGGATCGTTTAAACTGGCAACGTGTGTTTGCCGGTACTTGTATTGTCACAAAACTTTTGAAGTAAGATCCTGGAAAGCGAAAATTCCCGTATGCCTGCGGTATTCACATTATTCTCTTTATCCCTGTATTTCGAGTATTTTCATATGATGTTTCGCCATTCTGAGATTGCCTTGTGATGCTTGTATCTCCATGCCGTAAACTTGATGCGATTCAATTCGATTCGATTGGATTTTAATACAGGAACCGACTTTCCCGTGCGGAAGGCGAGTAACCATCGCGGCGAGTATACCGAGGTCGTTCTGCGAGTCAGGAGCGCGTCGCTCGTCAAGATGGTCGCCGCTGGCGTTCGCCACGAGCGACAAACGGTGAGCCAGTCGCGAGCGATAGATGGTGCGACAGTCGTGAACGACAAACGGTGAGCCAGTCGCGCGCGACGGACGGTGAATCAGTTGCGATAGACGGTTAGTCAGGTACAAGAAACAATTTATGTATCAGGGACCAGGCGTGAGCTGAACGCCACTGGAAAGTTTCGCATTCATACGTACACGAAGGCGGTGCAAGGAAGATGTCGTGCGTGTGCGAGGCCCCTCAAACACTTCGAGCTTCAATCGTCTCGTGGTCGTTCGTCGGATCTGAGCCGACATTATCGCGAAGATTTATGTGTGAACATGTCTGATTGAGTTATTGCCGTGGACAGGTTGTAACTTGGGATCAATCTTGCTAATGAAGGAGGGTGATACAACTCTTTTTTTACTCCCCCTCTTCCTCCCCCTCCTCTCCCTCTTTTCCCCCTCCCCATCCCCCTCCACTTCCCCCTCCCCCTTCCCCTCCGGCCCGCCCTTCTCGCCATGTTGCACCGTTGGGTAATGTCAGGCGAGCAGCATGACGAAGATCAACCTGGTGGACGTGATGAAGATTGAGACGGCAGGCAATCGAATGGTTGTTGTGCCGTTGAGCTATTGAGAGTCCCTGTTTACCCGTCTCTGTGACGCCGTAATGTGACCCTCCCAGGCGAGCAGCATGAAGAAGATCAATCTGGTGGACGTGATGAAGATCGAGACGACGGGCGAGCGAATGCTTGTGAGGCACGTATAAGTTAGCCGTTTGTACCCTTCTGTGTGACACTGTAACATCACCCCAGGCGAGCAGCATGAAGAAGATCAATCTGGTGGACGTGATGAAGATCGAGACGGCAGGCGAGCGGGACGAGCAGGTGCTGCTGCACACCAAGTCGCGCGTGTGGCAGCTGCTCGTCGACGGCGAGTCGGACCAGTTCGCGTCCACCGTGCAGCGCAACGCCAAGGTGAGATGGAGGGAGGTGGCATGATGGCATGATGGCATGATGTCATGATGGCATGATGGCATGATGGCATTTGGGGAGGAGGGAAAGGGCCAGGGAGAAGAGGCTAGTCGCGTGTGTCAGGTGTTGGTGGACGGCGAGTCGGACCAGTTCGCGTCCACTGTGCAGAGGAATGCCAAGGTAAGGCGCACGGACGGATGGGCGAGATGAGATTCAAAGAAAGGTGACTTGAGATTCTAGGAAGGTGAGGTGAGATTCAAGGAAAGGCGAGGTGGGAGGAAGGGCAAGATGAGACGGACAACTGGGTGCGAAAAACGGTCAGGTGAGATGAAGGGCGGTGGACGATGGCATGTTGAGAGGAGGCAATAGGTGAGCGGGACGAGCAGGTGCTGCTGCACACCAAGTTGCGCGTGTGGCAGCTGCTGGTGGACGGCAAGTCGGACCAGTTCGCATCCACCGTGCAGCGCAACGCCAAGGTGAGATGGAGGGAGGCTGCATGATGGCATGATGGCATTTGGGGAGGAGGGAAAGGGCCAGGGAGAAGAGGCTAGTCGCGTGTGGCAGCTGCTGGTGGATGGCGAGTCGGACCAGTTCGCATCCACCGTGCAGCGCAACGCCAAGGTGAGATGGAGGGAGGCGGCATGATGGCATGATGGCATTTGGGGAGGAGGGAAAGGGCCAGGGAGAAGAGGCTAGTCGCGTGTGGCAGGTGTTGGTGGACGGCGAGTCGGACCAGTTCGCATCCACCGTGCAGCGCAACGCCAAGGTGAGATGGAGGGAGGCGGCATGATGGCATGATGGCATTTGGGGAGGAGGGAAAGGGCCAGGGAGAAGAGGCTAGTCGCGTGTGGCAGCTGCTGGTGGACGGCGAGTCGGACCAGTTCGCATCCACCGTGCAGCGCAACGCCAAGGTGAGATGGAGGGAGGCGGCATGATGGCATGATGGCATTTGGGGAGGAGGGAAAGGGCCAGGGAGAAGAGGCTAGTCGCGTGTGGCAGCTGCTGGTGGACGGCGAGTCGGACCAGTTCGCATCCACCGTGCAGCGCAACGCCAAGGTGAGATGAGGGAGGTGGCATGATGGCATCTACAAGGTGAGGCGCACGGACAGGTGAGGTGGGAGGACCGGGCAAGGCAAAGAGAAATGCGGCATGATGAGATGGAGGGAGGTGGGATGTTGAGGTGAGAAACGCTAGGTCGAGATGCGTAGCAGGGTGCAATCAGGCTTTGATGCAGTCACATTTACATGCAGACACACTTGCAGGCATCAGTCTCAATTGCATGAAGTCGCAACTACACACAACTGTACGTGTATGCAATGCATGCAATAAGTGTTTCATCAACTTGCTGGTGTCATTGTTTTCACAATCAGCTTACATACTCCGGCTGTGTGTTGAGAAAGTATATAGCATAAAACCACGCCCCTGTTATGTCTAACTCTTGTTGTGGGCGCTTGGGTTCCCTGTTTGCCTTGAGGTCGTTTTTGAGGCGCCTCAAAAACGACCTCAAGTTTATAGCATGAACCACGCCCCTGTTATGTCTAACTCTTGTTGTGGGCGCTTGGGTTCCCTGTGTGCCTTGCTGATGTGTGGTGTGGCAGATGTACCTCCAAAAGCACATTCCAGTGCAGCGAGTCACAGGGGAGGAGATCCTCATAGTCACCAACGCAAGGGCTGAGTCGCTGGTGAGTTGTCTCGTTTGAGGCGTCCCCAAAATCGGCTCGATTGAGGCGCCTGAAATGTCAGCTGTACCTGCAAAATTACATCCCCAGTGTAGCGAGTCACAGGGGAGGAGATTCTAATGGTCACGAACGCAAGGGCTGAATCGCTGGTAAGCTGCTTGCCTGCTTCTCCCCTACCTTGTATGCTTTAGCTGTGAGTTTTCAGTGGTGAGAAGCAACGATCCTTCCAGTGGCGTGCAGAGGGAAAGAAGAGAAGGGCCTCTTGTGGTGTCCTGTCAGCACCTCAGTTGCGTATCCCCGCCTTAACCCCCCACGTGCTGCGTGTGTCCCCGCCTTAAACCCCCACGTGCTGCGTGTGTCCCCTGTTCTGTACAAGATCGCAGTGGTGAAGAACAACAACCCTGGCAGCTCTTGAGGTGACTTTTGAGTCGACTCAAAAGTCACCTCGCAGTGGTGAAGAACAACAACCGTGGCAGCTTTTGAGAATTCTCAAAAGCGACAGTGGTGGAGAACAACAACCTTGGCAGCAGAAAGAGGAGAGGATCCTGATGAGATTCTTATTTTGCCCCCTCTCCCCCTCAACCCCCCTTCCCACCAGCGTGCCTCCCCTGTGCTGTACGAGTTCTCAGTGGTGAAGAACAACGACCCTGGCAGCGGCATGCAGAGGGAGAGGATGCAAAAGAGCTTTCATCCTCTTGCCACATGAAACTAACCATCCCGTATCTCAACCCCTCGCTCCTTTCTCCCTTTGAGCAGCGCGCGTCCCCTGTGCTGTACGAGTTCTCAGTGGTGAAGAACAACGACCCTGGCAGCGGCATGCAGAGGGAGAGGATGCAAAAGAGCTTTCATCCTCTTGCCACATGAAACTAACCATCCCGTATCTCAACCCCTCGCTCCTTTCTCCCTTTGAGCAGCGCGTGTCCCCTGTGCTGTACGAGATCTCAGTGGTGAAGAACAACGACCCTGGCAGCGGCATGCAGAGGGAGAGGATGCAAAAGAGCTTTCATCCTCTTGCCACATGAAACTAACCATCCCGTATCTCAACCCCTCGCTCCTTTCTCCCTTTGAGCAGCGCGCGTCCCATGTGCTGTACGAGTTCTCAGTGGTGAAGAACAACGACCCTGGCAGGGGCATGCAGAGGGAAGAGGAGGCGATACCCCTTGCGGTGTCATTTTTGTCACCCACCTCACGTGCGCACCACTATCATCCCCTCCTCTGCCCGCACCCCCCTCTGCAGCGCGCGTCCCCTGTGCTGTACGAGTTCTCGGTGGTGAAGAACAACGACCCCGCCAGTGGCATGCAGAGGGAGAGGACGCTCGTGCTGACCAAGGAGTTCATGGCTGAGATGACCGGCAGCCACGTGATTGCGCTGCACAGGTGAGTGAGAGCACTGCTGGGATGTGACTAGAAGTAGAGGATCACAGTGGGTGGGCGTGAGGACGCTCGTGCTGATGACTGGCAGCCACGTGATTGCGCTGCACAGGTGAGTGAGAGCACTGCTGGGATGTGACTAGAAGTAGAGGATCACAGTGGGTGGGCGTGAGGACGCTCGTGCTGATGACTGGCAGCCACGTGATTGCGCTGCACAGGTGAGAGATGAGATGAGAGCACTGTAATGGGTGCGACTATAAGGGGAGTAGGTACCTCGGTGGGTGGGCGTGAGGGCGCTCGTGCTGACCAAGGAGTTCATGGCTGAGATGACTGGCAGCCATGTGATTGCGCTGCACAGGTGGGAGATGAGATCATGAGAGTACTGTAAGGATGGGTGGGCAGGTGGGCAGCAACTGACCAAGGAGTTCATGTCAGAGATAATTGGCTGTCAAAGGTGAGAGACGAAAAAGAACACAAGGGGAGGAGTGAAGGTACATTGGGTGGGTGGGTGGGTGGGTGGGTAGTGCCTCTCTTGCTGTGTGCTTAACGCAACGCTATGCACCCCTCTTGCTGCTCATTGCCCCGCTACCCACCAGTCTGAGCGACATCTTAGGGCTGGTGGTATCGGACAAGAGCGAGAGCGAGGTGGTAGAGGAGCTGAGTGGGTGGCTCCCTCTGTTCCCGTGTCTAACCCATTTTTTATGCCCTCCTCTTGCTGCTTGTTGCCCCGTGCTGCCCCCCACTGTCCAAGCAGTCTGAGCGACATCTTAGGGCTGGTGGTATCGGACAAGAGCGAGAGCGAGGTGGTAGAGGAGCTGAGTGGGTGGCTCCCTCTGTTCCCGTGTCTAACCCATTTTTTATGCCCTCCTCTTGCTGCTCCTTGCCCCGTGCTGCCCCCCACTGTCCAAGCAGTCTGAGCGACATCTTAGGGCTGGTGGTATCGGACAAGAACGAGAGCGAGGTGATAGTGGAGCTGAGTGGGTGGCTTCCTCTGTTTTCCAGTCTAACCCAAGGCTATCCACCCCTCTTGCTGCTCCTTGCCCCATGCTGCCGTGGTGTGTTTTGTACCCACCTCTGTCCAACCAGTCTGAGCGACATCCTAGGGCTGGTGGTATCAGACAAGAACGAGAGCGAGGTGATAGTGGAGCTGAGCGGGTGGAGAGCGACGCAGTACTGTGTGGCGGACAGAGAGGCGCTCGTGGGCAGCCTGGCGGAGGTCGCCAGCCACGCCAAGGCCCGCAACTTCTCTGTTCGCCTCGAACCCTTTGCGCAGCACACGCTGCCAGAGAAGCCCTTGCCTCTCTACCAGGTGCGTGCCCCGTGCCCTGTGCTTCTTTTAGCTCCCCTCGCATCCATTCCCTCCGGATGTCTTTGTTCTGCCTTCCGCTCGCCCCCCCCACTGGCAGAACGAGTACGAGATCTACCTGATAGCGCGCTTCATGACCGTGTTCCTGGCGCACCGGGAGAACCTCTCAGGGCTGACGCAGCCGGACGTGGTGGCGCAGTGGCTGCCCATGGTGAAGGAGTACGCCTGCAACATGCACCCCGGCGACTCCCTCTGCATCGACGCCCGCCCCATGCTTGCCGTCGCCGAGATGCTCCGAGCCAGCCTGGGTGAGTGAGGCTGTGTGCTCCGAGCCAGCTAGCCTGGGTGAGGTCTGGGCTTTGGGATGTGTGACGCCTGATGAGCGAGTGTTGCACAAATGGTTGTAACACACCATTTTCCTCTCCTTCATCTCATTATTTTGTCTCTTTGGTTGTGTGTGTGCATGCGTGATGTCTCTGTTTGTGAGCATGGTTATGACCATGTATGTATGTATGTATGTACGGGCATCCATGCATGTGTGCATGTTGACATGTGTGTATCCATGCATGTGTGCATGCATACGCATGAACCATCACGGCAGACTTAAAGCCAGGCCTGGGAGCATCGTATGCAGTGACGTGCTGCTCGGTGGTGCAGCGGCTGCTGGGCACGCGGGGCGTGTTTGAGTCGGTCAAGTCCAACCCCGACTTCATCAGCATCCTCATCAAGGTGCGTTATTGAAGCATGTGTGCACGCATGCGCCATGCACCATCACGCAGTGAGTGCTGCTCGGTGGTGCAGCGGCTGCTGGGCACGCGGGGCGTGTTTGAGTCAGTCAAGTCCAACCCAGACTTCATCAGCATCCTCATCAAGGTGCGTTCTTCCTTCTTGCCAATCCATGGCCGATTAGGCTGTTGGGAGGCGTGTTTGAACCCAATCCATACTTCATCAGCATTCTCATCAAGGTGTGTTGCGCTCTCCTTGCCATTAAATCCTCGATCCGTGGTTCTTTGGACACTCTACGCTGCTCTGCGCTGCAGCGTCTTTTAGGTGGACTGGGAAGACACTTCGTTTTGAAGACCATGCAGAGAGATAGCCGTCCCTAAAGTAGACTGCACAGACACTCGGGGCATGTTTGAGACGGTTAAGGTCAACCCAAACTTCGTCATCATCCTCAGTGTGCTCTGCTTGCCATTCGACCCATGAGGTCATGACCCATGACCCATGATCCATGTCCGCCTCCCTACCTGTCCACACTCAGGCCCTCAAGCATCCATCGTATGTGGTGGCGTTTGCAGCACCATCCGTGCTGCTATGTGGCAAAAGACGCACGCGTCCTGCTGCGTCCTGCGTCTGGACGCAGCGTCCAGACGCAGAGACGCAGGACGCGCGTCCAGACGCAGGACGCACCCCGTTACTTTTTTCGGGCTGACCGGAAAAAAATTTTGCCCCAGCGCGAAATTGACTTTAACGATTTGGACGCGACTGTCAATTTCACGTCATGTCGACCCCCCCTAACCCATTTCGGCCATCAAAAACACCCTAGAGGGTTTACCAAGACAATTCTCCTTCGTAAACCCTAAACCCTGAAAATTTGAAGGGGACGATTTTGCCTCAAATGTGTGCATCGTCGTTCCCCCCCCCTTCCCATACCCTATAACATCAGATTTCGGCTGCCCGGGGTTTTTTTTTTGCCCTGCCCGGGCATGCGTCTTTTCATGCGTCCTAAAGGCCCTCCTCTAGCGTCCTGCGTCTAAGACGCTGCGTCTGGACGCAAGCGTCCTAGACGCAGGACGCGTCTTTTGCCACATAGCCGTGCTGCTACCATGCTGTTCTCCGTCTCATGCACACCTTCTCTTAGCTTAACTGCCTTTCGTTGCATGCCTTCTCGATTTGTCACACACAGGTCCTGAAGCATCCATCATCTGTGGTGGCTTTTGCTGCAGCCAGCACCATCCGTGCAGCCTCCAAGCACTACTCAGCGACTCACCTGCTGCTGACCCCCCCGCTGCTGCCAGAGCTGCAACCGATTCCTGATGTATGCCTTCTCCTTTTGTCACATGCAGGCTCTCAAGCATCCATCGTCCGTGGTGGCTTTTGCAGCAGCCAGCACCATCCGTGCAGCCATAAAGCACTACTCAGCGGACTCACCTGCCCCTGACTCCCCTGCTGCTGCCAGAGCCTCCACCACCTCCTCTTTCCTCATGCAAGCCTGGCCCGCCCATGCGGTGAGTGCTTCAATCAATTGGGCCGGTTTAGGCAGTGAGACTTCTTATAACGAGCTTTTTTTTTGTTTCATAGCACGAGCATCTCCTCCTTCCCATGCAAGCCTGGTCCGCCCATGCGGTGAGTGTTGTTAAAGTGGGTCGGCTCTGCTCAGGCCTGTTCAGTGCCTTGTTTTCTAAGTACGCCAGGCCAGTTGTGGGGGGACATGATCATGCATGCCTGTATAGTGATTTATTTTCAATATACGCCCACAACAACAGCGTGTCTGTCTGTCACTCTCTGCCACTCCCCCCCTCTGCCCTCACAGGAGGCGGCCAACAAGCACGTGGTGCTGAGTGGAGACAACCTGCAGGTGCTGGTGGCACGGCTGCAGACAGATGCACTCGTGCACCAGAATGCACTGCAGGTGTGTGTGTGTGTGTGTAAGGGGTTACTGGGTTGTGTGATGATATGCTATGTGGTGTGTTTGTGCGTCTGGCCTTTCTCATAGTGCTGCGTGTGCTACCCTGGCTGCAGACAGACCCTCGTGAGCCAGAATGCACTGCAGGTGTGTGTGTAAGGGGCAATGGGATAGCCTAATGTGTGTGATACTGAATGTCCCCCATGCACCCGCTCCCCCACTCCTATTTTCACAGAATGTTAGCGCCTGTATAAAATGCATAACCCCCTCTCCATCTCTTTCCCCCCCCCCCACCCCACCCACCCCCTTTGCTCAGGTGCAAGGCATCCTGGAGATCCTCACTCTGGCTCTGCACCTGCCGCCATCGTCAGATGCCGAGGCAGAGAAGCACTGGATGGAGGTGAGGCGTGGGTGGAGCGGAGGTGAGGCGTGGGTGGAGTGGAGGTGAGGCGTGGGTGGAGTGGAGGTGAGGCGTGGAGGGAGGTGAGGCGTGGTGCTGGGGCCTCCAGCATTGAGTGTTGCTAAGAACGTCCACTGTTTGTACATCGCCATCGAGTGTGCATTCATTACCTCTTTTCAGCGACTAATTTACCTGCCCACATGTCACCTGCCCACGTTTCACATGTCCTCACCTCACTTGCCCAATTTTTTGCCTGCCAAAATCCCACGTGCGCTGCGCATACCTTACCTGCCCACGTCCATCGCCCATCAGACCCTTGAGAGCTCTCTACTCGTGGCTGCTGACGTCATCAGTGCCATTTCCCGAAGCCGCAGCAACATTATGTACTGCAGGTGTGTGTGTGAGTGGGTGTTGGGCCCGTGGGGGGAGGGGGGGAGTGTGTGCGTAGGGTGTGGGGGGAAAGGTGCAGTAACATTTCCCAAAGCCGCAGCAACCTAATATGGGGGTGGGGGTGGGGGGGTATGGTGTATGTGTGGGTGGGTAGATGGGGGAAGAGGGGAGGGTGGGCGGGTGGGTGGGTGAAGAGGGAGGGGGGGGGGTTGGGCGGGAGGGTGAGTGGGGGTGGGGATGGGTGTGTGCCCATGTGTGCGCGCACGTGCGTAAGGTTGTGTGTGTGTGTGTGCATGCGCGACTGTGGTGCTTGTTTGTTTGTACGCTGTGTGTGCGGCATCCTGAGTGTTCCATTGCTGTTGTTTCTGCCATACGTCTCCCTCTCCCTATGCCCCCCCCTCCCCCTCCCACCTGCAATTCCTCCTCCCCTTCTCGCCGTCAAGCCTCAGTTTCGTCCATCCCTCTTCTCTCATTCTTCGCCCCCTTCGCTCGTTCACCATATACCCCTTTCCCCTTAATTTCCCTCAATTGTTTCAATTGCCCCCCTCCCCTCAACCAGCAATGCGCTACTGATCAAGACAATCTTCACACGCTGCTCACCTGCCTTCATCACCCGCTTCAGGGTAGGTTACCGTGCTTGCTGTGCCGCTGCCCAGGTGCCAGTGCAGTGCAAGTTTCATCTGTCATGTGTCTTGTGCCGGTTGTCAAATGTCACGCGTCATGTGTCATGTGTTGTGTGTCACATATGCCATGCGTCATGTGCCATGTCATGTACTTTTTGGGCCGTCTCAATACCGATCAAGCCCATATTAACCATGCACCCAACTTTTGTCAATCACTCCCCCCGTCTACTACCACACTCCCCCGTCTATCCTGCTCCTGAAGAACGCACTGTTCAACAAGCTGGAGAGGGCGAGGATGGCAAGGGGCACAGTCAAACTCAGTCCCGCCCATATTCCTACCACTCTCCTTCCTTTCCATCCAGGCTGTGATTCTATCCCGTGCAGTTGTGCTGCTGTGCGCGCTGTTTAACAAGCTAGAGAGGGCGAGGGATGGCAAGGGGCACAGTCAAACCAAACTCACTCTCTCTTTCAACATTCTATCGCTCTCCCTTCTTCCCATCCAGGCTGTGATTCTATCCCGTGCAGTGGTGTTGCTGCTGCTCAAGAACGCACTGTTCAACAAGCTGGAGAGGGCGAGGGACGTCAGTGCGGAGCTGCTGTTCCTCATTGCTGAGAGCGATGCTAAAACACAGCAGCTGCTGGCGAATCTGCTGCCTAAGGTGGGTTTCATTTCACGCACCGTGCACCATGCATCAAGGCACTTGCCTGAGTGTCAGTCAGTGCAGAGCTGCTATTCCTCATTGCCGAGAGCGATGCCAAAACACAGTTACTGCTGGCGAATCTGCTTCCCAAGGTGTGCCTCATGCGTCATGGCTCGACAGCACTGAGTGATACTACAAAGCCATTATGAGTGTCAGTCAGTGCGCAGATGCTGTTCCTTATTGCCGAGATCGACACAGGCCAGTGTTTTTCTTTCTACTTGCGGGATACACGGGATGCTTTGCTACTGAGCTTCATTGTAACTAACGTTGGTCTCTCACGCTCTAATCTGTTCCCTCCGTCCGTCCCCATCATTCTGAACTCTTGCTGCAGGGTTTCTTTTTTGTTCTGAAAGACAAGACAGAAGCTGCGAGAAAGGCCGAGCTTGAGGTAAGTTCGACTGGGGAGAGGGACTGTAAGTTGAGTGGAATGTTTCGAGGTTTTAAGCTTCAGGTCGTGTTCTAGAAACTGGAAATGCGAATGAGAAGGTTTAGATCTAGGTGCAGTGTGGTGGAGTTCGGTTTGGAAACCGAGTCCGAGTGACACTTAGCATGATGGGGAATGTTGGCTGTAGAAGTCAAATTGTTCCCGTATGTTAGGAGTTGCCACCTCGACCAACCCAACGGGAGCAAGCCAAGGCAGCAGCAGCAGCAGCAGCAGTAGCAGGGTGTGCTGGCTCCACCTCACTTCACATTTCTTTTACTTTGATACTAATTATTTCTTGTATTTTTGCGATTGCCATGTCGGCCCAACCCAACAGGAGGCAGCCAAAGCCGCAGCAGCAGGCGGCGCTAGCTCTACCCTAGCGTCCGGGCTCAAAATTGCATCAGCAGTGGCAGCAGCGGCAGCAGCAGCAGCCACAGCCAGCACAACCACGGGCACAACTCCAGGCAGCGGGTCTGCTGGGGGGGAAGGCAGTGGGGGAGCGGTGGGGATGGGGGGTGGGAGTGGGGGGTTGGGGAGTGTGGTGGCGCTGGGGGTGTGGAAGGAGGCGCTGGAGATGCTGAGGAGGAGAAGCATCACGACACCGGTGCTAGTGTGGAATGATGCCAAGAGACACGAGCTGCATGCGGTGAGTGGGGAGGGTGGGGTTCAAGTGGTGGACGTTTGAAGTGTTGCAATGCAGGGATGACTGTTGCCGTGTTTTCCCTGGCAGTACCTCACCCTCCAAGAGCAGGTGAAGGCGTTTGATGTGATCCGGAGGTGGATGGGAGGGAGCAGGCAGATGCACTTGTGGTAATGGGAACAGGAGCATGTTACCTCACACACACATGTGTGCGTGTTTTGCCCTGGGAGTACCTCAAGGAGCAGGTGGAGGCGTTTGATGCAGCCCTGGGGCGGACGGGAGGCGAACAGAGGCACACACATGCACACCCGCACACATGGCATCTCAAACACATGTATCACACACACCTGTCCCGTGCTCGCCCTGGCAGTACCTCAACAAGCAGGTGGAGGCGTTTGATGTGGCCCTGGGGCGGACGGGAGGCACCCGGAGCAAGGAACTCTATCTGTCTCTATCACACGGATCGCACACACACATCACCACACACACGTATCACCTGTGCGTTTCTGCCCTGGGAGTACCTAAAGAAGCAGGTGGAGGCGTTTGATGCGGCCCTGGGGCGGACGGGAGGCACCGGGAGCACGTAATTCAATATGTCTCTATCACACACATCCACACGTATCACTCACACCAATCACCTGTGCGTGTTTCGCCCTGGCAGTACCTCAAGGAGCAGGTGGAGGCGTTTGATGCAGCCCTGGGGCGGACGGGAGGAGGCAAGGACATTCACTTCAACACGGACGACTGTGAATGCTGCTACACTCCTGCCAGTAACGACAATGGTGAGCAGCAAGGGCATTCACGAGCGACAAGGGTTGGGGGTCTGGGAGGCGAATTGGGGGAGGCAAGGATATTCACTTCAACACGGATGACTGCGAGTGCTGCTACACTCCTGCCAGCAACGACAATGGTGAGTGCTGCTAATTGTAAGCGGCACGGCACTCACTGCAACACTGACGACTGCGACCCTGCCAGCAATGATAATGGTGAGTGAGTGGGTTTGCGGAAGGTGTAGGGTCTCCTGAGGAGCATTGGAGGAAGCAAGAATATTCACTTCAACACTGACGACGCGAGTGCTGCTACTCCGCTGCCAGCAATGATAGTGGTGAGTGAATGGATGGTGGGATGATGGGGAAGGGAACTAGAGGCAGACGAGAGATGTAACAAGGTCACTCTATTTCACTTCAATACGGACGACTGCGAGTGTTGCTACTCGCCTGCCAGCAATGATAATGGTGAGTGAGTGGGGGAATGGGTACGGATTGTAGAGGCGAATCGAAGTTGGCACGGATATTCAGTTCAACACTGACGACTGCAAGTGCTGTTACTCCCGTGCTAGCAATGATAATGGTGCTGCTGCTCTGCTTCACGCCGCTCTATGGCACGTGCCAGCTGCCCTCTTCCCAACCTCCGTCCCCATTACCCTTGCCCGTTTGCACCCATCCCCCCTCCCCGTTCCCGCTTTTCCCCCTCTTTTCCTAATTTCCCAGATGTGTGCAAGACCATAGTGGAGGGGGTGCATCTACAGGTGCTGCTGCAGCCGTCTGACGACTCCTCGCCTGCGCTAGCCGCCCACTGGAAGCTGGACGACCGCCTCGTCTCACCTCCTCTTTCCCGTCACCCTTTTCCCCTTCCCTCCTCTCCCGCTGATTTCCCAGATGTGTGCAAGACCATTGTCGAGGGGGTGCACCTTGAAGTGCTTCTGCAGCCCTCCGACGACTCCTCCCCTACTCTGGCCGCCACTGGAAGCTGGACGACCCAGCAGCGCTCTTCACGGCCACGCTGCAGGCGCTGCTGCTGTGCTTCACGCCGCTCTACGGCACGTGCGAGCTGCCCACTTCTCACCCCACCACCTCCCCATTCCCCTTGCCCCCTTGTCCCCTTGCCCCCATGCCCCCTCCCCGTTCCCCCTTTTCCCCCTCTCTCCCTGGTTCTCCAGATGTGTGCAAGACCATAGTGGAGGGGGTGCATCTACAGGTGCTGCTACAGCCTTCTGACGACTCCTCCCCTGCTCTGGCGGTGGCGGACCACTGGAAGCTGGACGACCCTTCGCCTCAACCTCCTCTTTTCCGTTACCTTGTCCCCCTTTCCCCTCTCTCCCTCTCATTCCCCAGACGTGTGCAAGACCATCGTCGAGGGGGTTCACCTGGAGGTCCTGTTACAGCCGTCTGACGACTCCTCCCCGGCGCTAGCGGCCCACTGGAAGCTGGACGACCCAGCAGCGCTCTTCACCGCCACGCTGCAGGCGCTGCTGCTGTGCTTCACGCCGCTCTACGGCACGTGCGAGCTGCCGGAGATCGAGCCGCGTCTGGCCGTGGATGCGCTCACATGGATGTACGAGCGACACGAGGGGGAGCTTCGAGGGGTGGTGGAGAATCTACATGTCGTGGAGGTGAGTGGCAGGGAGCTGAGTTACAGAGGATGGGGAGAAGGTGTTCTAGAGAGAGGGAGGAAGAGAGGGCTGGCTGGCTGTGGACGCCCTCACGAAGGGGACACTGGGTGAGGAGTGGTGGAGAGATTGATTTTGGAGAATTCTAAAAAATCGATTTCAGTAGAAGGGGAGGGAGTGGGTGGATGTAGGATGTATGAGCGGCACGAGATGGACATTGGGGCGTCGTGGAGTTGAGTGGCAGAGAGGGTACTTGGTGTTTGCGTGGAAGGAAGATTCTGCTGCTCGAGCTGAACCCTTTCTTTCCCCTTGCATTGCATGTCGTTTTTCCCCCCCCCCTTTCAAGTCGCTCCTCCTGCTGCTGCTGCTGCTGCTGCTTGTTCTGCACCCCCGTTTTCATTTTCATGCGTTTCTCCCCTCTGTTTCTTCCTTCCTCGGCCGCACTGCCAGCTCGTTGTGACAACGACCATGTGGTGTTTGCCTTGAAGTCGCTGCTGCAGCTGCTGCTGCTGCTGCTCGTCCGGAACCAAGTTTTCCTTCCTAACATATCTTTCCCCCTCCTCCTTTCCCCCAGCTCTTTGTGGCGATGCTAAGAGAGGCCATTAACAACGACCACGTGGTGTTTGCATTCAAGTCGCTGCTGCTGCTGCTGCGCGTCATTTTGGAGAGCGCTGGCGGCCCTGATGTCTCCTCATTGTGCTGTCTGTTGCTGATTCCTCTTTGATGTTCTTCCTTCTAAATACCTCCCACTCCTCTACCCACAGCTCTTTGTGGCGATGCTACGAGAGGCCATTAACAACGACCATGTGGTGTTCGCATTCAAGTCACTGCTGCTGCTGCTCCTGCTGTTTCTCAACCCCCTTCCCCCCTTACATATCTTTCTCTCTCCTCCTTTCCACCAGCTCTTTGTGGCGATGCTAAGGGATGCAATAGACAACGACCACGTGGTGTTCGCATTCAAGTCGCTGCTGCTGCTGCTGCTGCTGTTTCTCAACCCCCTTCCCCCCTTACATATCTTTCTCTCTCCTCCTTTCCACCAGCTCTTTGTGGCGATGCTGAGGGAGGCGATAGACAACGACCACGTGGTGTTCGCATTCAAGTCGCTGCTGCTGCTGCGCATCATTCTCGAGAGGGCTGGTCGTCCTGCAGTCTCCCGATTCGTGAAGGCGGGAGGCATGTCCATCATCCTGCCGCTCATGGTCAACTCGCTTGCTAAGGTGGGTGGTTTGGCTGGTGGGTGGAAGCAGAGAGAGGGAGGTGAAGAGAGGAGGATGGCTGTGTCTTGATTCGTGAAGGCGGGAGGCATGTCCATCATCTTGCCCCTCATGGTCAACTCGCTCGCCAAGGTGGGTTGCAGAGGGTGGGAAACGGTGAAGGGGGAATGGATGGGATATGAGTCTGGTAGGGCTTGAAGGCGGGAGGCATGTCCATCATCCTGCCGCTCATAATCAACTCAGATGGGCCGACGGGCGATCAAGCTGGCGTCGGTGGTGTGGCCGGATCGTTGCAGGGAGTTTTTGAGAATTCTCAAAAACCCCCTCATGGTCAACTCAAATGGGCCGACGGGCGATGAAGCTGGTGTCGGTGGTGTGGTCGGATCGTGAGGTGCGGATGCCTCAACCCCTCCCCTCTCCTCCCCCTTTCCCTTGTTCCTCTCCCCCCCCACTCCAGTGCTGCAAGGACGAGACTCTGTTTGAATGCGACTCACCGAGTGTGAAGGATTGAGGTGGTGTTGGTGGTGGGGGCGGACGGCGAGGTGTAGATGCCTGAGCCTCTTTTTGCCCCTCCGTCTCCCCTACTTCTCTCCACCCCCCACCCCCCAGTGCTGCAAGGACGAGACTCTGTTTGAGTGTGATGCGCCGAGTGTGAAAGACCGAGGGGCGATCGAGGTGGTGCCGGTGGTGGGGGCGGACGGCGAGGTGCGGATGGCGCGCGTGCCGTCCGGGCGGCAGGCAAAGGAGGGCGGCGCGAGCACTGTTCATCACGGGGGGAGTGTGGAGGCGAGGGATGCGATCAAGTGGCAGGATGAGAGTGTGCCGGAGAAGCTACAGCTGGGGATGGCACTTGAACTGCTGGAAACTGTCCTAGAGTGAGTCTTATTTTTTCCCCCCCTTGGGAATTATTGGACGGACTCAAATTTAGCTGGGCATCGGCCTTGGGAATGCGGACGACGCGGTCATCATAGAGTGAGTGCGATGGAAAAGGTGGAGGGGAGAGCACTGTTCATCACGGGGGAAGTGTGGAGGCGAGGGATGCAATCAAGTGGCAGGATGAGAGCGTGCCCGAGAAGCTACAGCTGGGGATGGCGCTAGAGGTGCTGGAGACTGTATTAGAGTGAGTGGTTTTCCTCTTTGAGTTCTTGTAATGTCTTCAATCCAGGGACCAGGCTGAGCATGGCGCTGGGACTGCTTCAGACCGTCCTAGAGTGAGTTGCTCTTGTAGAGTTGTCAGAGCGTTGCCAAGATGGGCAGCGTGGACTCTAGGGATGCAATCAAGTGGCAGGATGAGAACGCACCGGAGAAGCTGCAGCTGGGAATGGCACTTGAACTGCTGGAGACCATTCTAGAGTGAGGACGGTGGGCAGTGAGGTGGTGTGGGACTTAATGTGAGTGTGATGAGCGTTTTTTTCAGTGATCAAGTGGCAGGATGAGAAGCTGCAGCTGGGGATGGCGCTGGAGCTGCTGGAAACAGTCCTGGAGTGAGTGCCTTTGCTCTGTGTGCATTCTCGAGTGGACTCATATCTAGCACACAAAGTGGCATGTCACGTGCGACTACCGATGGCCGTTGTAGAGAGAGAGCGATGATGGTCTTTTTCAGCTGACTCACACGACCCCTTGCCCACGACTATGCCCTTCCCTCCCCCTCCTCTGCAGTGTTATTGATGTGCTGGGAAGCCTAAGCTGTACCCCCAGCCTCTGGCTTAATGTACGTCCTTCCTGTTCGTTGTCTCTCTCCCCCCTTCACCCACTCCCTTCCCTCCTCCACAGTGTCATTGAGGTGCCGGGAGGCTTGGAGAGGTACCCACCGCCCCTTCCTCTGGAGGACCTGGCTCGGCCGGAGCTGCTGTGCAGCCTCGTGCAGCTCCTGCTGCGGGCCAAGTCCCCCACCTTCAGGAGGTGAGAGAGAATGACACTAACGAGCCGTTTTACCTAGCCCCTCGAGAGCGGGTTTTGAGATAATAATAATAATAATAATAATAATAATAGTTATTATTATTATTATTATTACTATTATTATTATTATTATTATTATTATTATTACTACTATTCTAAAAGAAATCCCACCTTCAGGAGGTGAGAATGACACTAGCTAACCGTTTCACATAGCCAACACTCCCCACCTTCAGGAGGTCGGAACGGCACACTGAGCCATTTCACGTAGCCCCCGGGGAATTCCGTTTTGTAGCATCAGCCAGCTGAAGCTGGCTCATTGGAAAATTCCGAATTCATGCAGTTTCTACGAAACTGCAACCAGGATCTGGAGGTGCTGTCCATTCTGTGCCACAGCAACATCAAGCAGGTGGCCATGAGCTTCTTCAATATGAAAACCGCATGCAGTAGGCCAAAATTTGAGTCAGCTCAAACATTGGTCCATTCTGTGCCACGGCGTGAAGCAGGCAGCCAATCCTCTGCCTCGCTTTAAGGAGACTGCCCTTGGTAAAGACTTCTTACCGTTGCTAGATTACTCCCACCAGGATTCCTGAGGTGCTGTCCATACTGTGCCGCTGCAGCAAGCAGGCGGCCAGTGAGCTGCACACCTTGAAAGGGCCATCCCTCCTGTTGCTCTGAAACTTTTCCCCCTTACCCTTCCCCATCTCACCTCACAACCAGTATTCTCGAGGTGCTGTCCATGCTGTGCCGGGGAAACAAGCAGGCGTCGAATGAGCTGCGCCTCTTCCAAAGACGCCGTCTCGTCTCCTTAAGTATTCTGAACGTTTCCCCCCAACACCTCCCCCATGCCACCAGGATTCTAGAGGTGCTGTCCATTCTGTGCCGCGGCAACAAGCAGGCGGCCAGTGAGCTGCACCGCTTTCAAAGGCCGTCCCTACTGTTACCCTGATGTTTTTCGCTGAACCCCCCTCCTCTGCCACCAGGATTCTCGAGGTGCTGTCCATCCTGTGCCGTGGCAACAAGCAGGCGGCGAGTGAGCTATGCCGCTTTGGGTGCTTCCCCATGCTGCTGTGGAAGGTGGTGGCGGGGGACATCAGCCACGACGACCGCACCCGCATCCTCAAGTTCCTCGCTCGCACGCACTTGCTGCAGGTAGGTCCAGGGTTTAGGGTTTAATAGGGTGTGGGTTATAGCTACGGTTTGAGCAAGGTTTGGGTGCTTCCTTCCCCATGATGCTGTGGAAGGTGGTGGCAGGAGACATCAGCCACAACGACCGCACCCGCACCCTCAAATTCCTTGCCCGCACACACCTCCTGCAGGTAGGTGGACCAACCACCTGCCGTGAAGCATCTGCGTTGGAGCATGCGCCTGTGAAGGGGCTGCTGGTGGAGCACCTGTCGTGGCATGAGAGCACTTGCAGCTCATCCTGTCTTACCTCATGCCCCACCTCGCTCTCCCTGCAGGACCCATCCGCGTTGGAGCACGCGCCTGTGAAGGGGCTGCTGCTGATGGAGCACCTTCCGTGGCATGAGAGCATCCTCCTCAACCTCAACTTTACCTGTCCTATTCACTCTGCATGCCCCTCCGGCTCCTGGGTCTCTCCCTCTCTCCACCCTCTCACAGGACCCATCTGCCTTGGAACACGCGCGAAGGGCCTGGTGGTGGTGGAGCATCTGCCGTGGCACAAGAGCATTCTCCGCCTCTACCTAACCTCTTTCCTGTGCTGTCCCCCTCTCTTGCTCGCCCTCTCAGGACCCGTCGGCTCTAGAGCACGCGCCTGTGAAGGGCCTGGTTGTGGTGGAGCATCTGCCGTGGCACAAGAGCATCCTCAACTGGTCCTCAACTGGTCCTCAACTGGTCCTCAACTGGTCCTCAACTGGTCCTCAACTGGTCCTATACTGTCCCCCATGCTCCTCCTCGTTCCCACCCTCACTTTTTTGTTTTTGCAGGACCCATCCGCGTTGGAGCATGCGCCAGTGAAGGGGCTGGTGGTGGTGGAGCATCTGCCTGGCACGATAGTATTCTCCGCCTCTACCTAACCTTTTCCTGTGCTGCCTCTCAGGACCCATCTGCATTGGAGCATGCGCCAGTGAAGGGGCTGGTGGTGGTGGAGCATCTGCCGTGGCACGAGAGCATTCTGCGGCTGTACCTGCCTGCTGGGCTCGTCTCCAAGCTCATTCAAGAGGTGTGTACGAGGCTCGTTGGTGCTGCTGTGTGGCGTCTTGCTGTTGTGCATGGCTTGCTGCTGTACTGTCTGGTGAGATCATTCTTATGCCATGCTTACAGCATTCTCCTCCCGTACCTCCCTGCTGGGCTCGTCCCGGAGCTCATTCAAGAGGTGCGGGGCTTGCTGCTGCAGCGCGCGGCGAGGGAGGCGCTTTGTGAGATGAGGATTCTTAGGGCATGCTACAGCTTCAGCCTCCCTGTTGGGCTAGTCCCGAAGCTCTTTTGATAAAAGGTTCGAGGCCGCTGTGTTAGGTGTGGGGAGAGAGGCATATTGTGAGTGCGGTTAGAATATGCCCACAGCTTCTTCCTCCCCGCTTCAGAGGTAGTGTGTGTGTGCCCCTTCCCTCCACTACGAATGCCTCTCGTATGTATTCACCTCACCTCAGGGAGAAAAGCTGTTTCTGTCCAATTTAGAAACAGAGGACATAGACACGCCGGAGATTGTGTGTGTGTAGGCCCCTCCCTCCCTCCTCTACCAACTGACCTTCTAATGCCTGTCCCATCCATACCCGCCCCACTCACCTCAGGTGAAATTAGAACTAAGAGTTTACAAACGATCCATAGAACTAATCTACTAATCCTACTCATGCCTGTCCCATCCATACCCGCCCCACTCACCTCAGGGCGCAGAGCTGTTCCTATCCAATCTAGACACGGAGGACTCAGACACGCCCGAGATTGTGTGCGTGGACCCCTCCCTCCACTACCAACTCACCGTCTTATGCCTGTCCCATCACATGTATTCCCATGTATTCATCTCACCTCAGGGCGCGGAGCTGTTCCTATCCAACCTGGACACGGAGGACATAGACACGCCCGAGATTGTGTGCGTGGACCCCTCCCTCCACTACCAACTCACCGTCTTATGCCTGTCCCATCACATGTATTCCCATGTATTCATCTCACCTCAGGGCGCGGAGCTGTTCCTATCCAACCTGGACACGGAGGACATAGACACGCCCGAGATTGTGTGCGTGGACCCCTCCCTCCACTACCAACTCACCGTCTTATGCCTGTCCCATCACATGTATTCCCATGTATTCATCTCACCTCAGGGCGCGGAGCTGTTCCTATCCAACCTGGACACGGAGGACATAGACACGCCCGAGATTGTGTGCGTGGACCCCTCCCTCCACTACCAACTCACCGTCTTATGCCTGTCCCATCACATGTATTCCCATGTATTCATCTCACCTCAGGGCGCGGAGCTGTTCCTATCCAACCTGGACACGGAGGACATAGACACGCCCGAGATTGTGTGCGTGGACCCCTCCCTCCACTACCAACTCACCGTCTTATGCCTGTCCCATCACATGTATTCCCATGTATTCATCTCACCTCAGGGCGCGGAGCTGTTCCTATCCAACCTGGACACGGAGGACATAGACACGCCCGAGATTGTGTGCGTGGACCCCTCCCTCCACTACCAACTCACCGTCTTATGCCTGTCCCATCACATGTATTCCCATGTATTCATCTCACCTCAGGGCGCGGAGCTGTTCCTATCCAACCTGGACACGGAGGACATAGACACGCCCGAGATTGTGTGCGTGGACCCCTCCCTCCACTACCAACTCACCGTCTTATGCCTGTCCCATCACATGTATTCCCATGTATTCATCTCACCTCAGGGCGCGGAGCTGTTCCTATCCAACCTGGACACGGAGGACATAGACACGCCCGAGATTGTGTGCGTGGACCCCTCCCTCCACTACCAACTCACCGTCTTATGCCTGTCCCATCACATGTATTCCCATGTATTCATCTCACCTCAGGGCGCGGAGCTGTTCCTATCCAACCTGGACACGGAGGACATAGACACGCCCGAGATTGTGTGCGTGGACCCCTCCCTCCACTACCAACTCACCGTCTTATGCCTGTCCCATCACATGTATTCCCATGTATTCATCTCACCTCAGGGCGCGGAGCTGTTCCTATCCAACCTGGACACGGAGGACATAGACACGCCCGAGATTGTGTGCGTGGACCCCTCCCTCCACTACCAACTCACCGTCTTATGCCTGTCCCATCACATGTATTCCCATGTATTCATCTCACCTCAGGGCGCGGAGCTGTTCCTATCCAACCTGGACACGGAGGACATAGACACGCCCGAGATTGTGTGCGTGGACCCCTCCCTCCACTACCAACTCACCGTCTTATGCCTGTCCCATCACATGTATTCCCATGTATTCATCTCACCTCAGGGCGCGGAGCTGTTCCTATCCAACCTGGACACGGAGGACATAGACACGCCCGAGATTGTGTGCGTGGACCCCTCCCTCCACTACCAACTCACCGTCTTATGCCTGTCCCATCACATGTATTCCCATGTATTCATCTCACCTCAGGGCGCGGAGCTGTTCCTATCCAACCTGGACACGGAGGACATAGACACGCCCGAGATTGTGTGCGTGGACCCCTCCCTCCACTACCAACTCACCGTCTTATGCCTGTCCCATCACATGTATTCCCATGTATTCATCTCACCTCAGGGCGCGGAGCTGTTCCTATCCAACCTGGACACGGAGGACATAGACACGCCCGAGATTGTGTGCGTGGACCCCTCCCTCCACTACCAACTCACCGTCTTATGCCTGTCCCATCACATGTATTCCCATGTATTCATCTCACCTCAGGGCGCGGAGCTGTTCCTATCCAACCTGGACACGGAGGACATAGACACGCCCGAGATTGTGTGCGTGGACCCCTCCCTCCACTACCAACTCACCGTCTTATGCCTGTCCCATCACATGTATTCCCATGTATTCATCTCACCTCAGGGCGCGGAGCTGTTCCTATCCAACCTGGACACGGAGGACATAGACACGCCCGAGATTGTGTGCGTGGACCCCTCCCTCCACTACCAACTCACCGTCTTATGCCTGTCCCATCACATGTATTCCCATGTATTCATCTCACCTCAGGGCGCGGAGCTGTTCCTATCCAACCTGGACACGGAGGACATAGACACGCCCGAGATTGTGTGCGTGGACCCCTCCCTCCACTACCAACTCACCGTCTTATGCCTGTCCCATCACATGTATTCCCATGTATTCATCTCACCTCAGGGCGCGGAGCTGTTCCTATCCAACCTGGACACGGAGGACATAGACACGCCCGAGATTGTGTGCGTGGACCCCTCCCTCCACTACCAACTCACCGTCTTATGCCTGTCCCATCACATGTATTCCCATGTATTCATCTCACCTCAGGGCGCGGAGCTGTTCCTATCCAACCTGGACACGGAGGACATAGACACGCCCGAGATTGTGTGCGTGGACCCCTCCCTCCACTACCAACTCACCGTCTTATGCCTGTCCCATCACATGTATTCCCATGTATTCATCTCACCTCAGGGCGCGGAGCTGTTCCTATCCAACCTGGACACGGAGGACATAGACACGCCCGAGATTGTGTGCGTGGACCCCTCCCTCCACTACCAACTCACCGTCTTATGCCTGTCCCATCACATGTATTCCCATGTATTCATCTCACCTCAGGGCGCGGAGCTGTTCCTATCCAACCTGGACACGGAGGACATAGACACGCCCGAGATTGTGTGCGTGGACCCCTCCCTCCACTACCAACTCACCGTCTTATGCCTGTCCCATCACATGTATTCCCATGTATTCATCTCACCTCAGGGCGCGGAGCTGTTCCTATCCAACCTGGACACGGAGGACATAGACACGCCCGAGATTGTGTGCGTGGACCCCTCCCTCCACTACCAACTCACCGTCTTATGCCTGTCCCATCACATGTATTCCCATGTATTCATCTCACCTCAGGGCGCGGAGCTGTTCCTATCCAACCTGGACACGGAGGACATAGACACGCCCGAGATTGTGTGCGTGGACCCCTCCCTCCACTACCAACTCACCGTCTTATGCCTGTCCCATCACATGTATTCCCATGTATTCATCTCACCTCAGGGCGCGGAGCTGTTCCTATCCAACCTGGACACGGAGGACATAGACACGCCCGAGATTGTGTGCGTGGACCCCTCCCTCCACTACCAACTCACCGTCTTATGCCTGTCCCATCACATGTATTCCCATGTATTCATCTCACCTCAGGGCGCGGAGCTGTTCCTATCCAACCTGGACACGGAGGACATAGACACGCCCGAGATTGTGTGCGTGGACCCCTCCCTCCACTACCAACTCACCGTCTTATGCCTGTCCCATCACATGTATTCCCATGTATTCATCTCACCTCAGGGCGCGGAGCTGTTCCTATCCAACCTGGACACGGAGGACATAGACACGCCCGAGATTGTGTGCGTGGACCCCTCCCTCCACTACCAACTCACCGTCTTATGCCTGTCCCATCACATGTATTCCCATGTATTCATCTCACCTCAGGGCGCGGAGCTGTTCCTATCCAACCTGGACACGGAGGACATAGACACGCCCGAGATTGTGTGCGTGGACCCCTCCCTCCACTACCAACTCACCGTCTTATGCCTGTCCCATCACATGTATTCCCATGTATTCATCTCACCTCAGGGCGCGGAGCTGTTCCTATCCAACCTGGACACGGAGGACATAGACACGCCCGAGATTGTGTGCGTGGACCCCTCCCTCCACTACCAACTCACCGTCTTATGCCTGTCCCATCACATGTATTCCCATGTATTCATCTCACCTCAGGGCGCGGAGCTGTTCCTATCCAACCTGGACACGGAGGACATAGACACGCCCGAGATTGTGTGCGTGGACCCCTCCCTCCACTACCAACTCACCGTCTTATGCCTGTCCCATCACATGTATTCCCATGTATTCATCTCACCTCAGGGCGCGGAGCTGTTCCTATCCAACCTGGACACGGAGGACATAGACACGCCCGAGATTGTGTGCGTGGACCCCTCCCTCCACTACCAACTCACCGTCTTATGCCTGTCCCATCACATGTATTCCCATGTATTCATCTCACCTCAGGGCGCGGAGCTGTTCCTATCCAACCTGGACACGGAGGACATAGACACGCCCGAGATTGTGTGCGTGGACCCCTCCCTCCACTACCAACTCACCGTCTTATGCCTGTCCCATCACATGTATTCCCATGTATTCATCTCACCTCAGGGCGCGGAGCTGTTCCTATCCAACCTGGACACGGAGGACATAGACACGCCCGAGATTGTGTGCGTGGACCCCTCCCTCCACTACCAACTCACCGTCTTATGCCTGTCCCATCACATGTATTCCCATGTATTCATCTCACCTCAGGGCGCGGAGCTGTTCCTATCCAACCTGGACACGGAGGACATAGACACGCCCGAGATTGTGTGCGTGGACCCCTCCCTCCACTACCAACTCACCGTCTTATGCCTGTCCCATCACATGTATTCCCATGTATTCATCTCACCTCAGGGCGCGGAGCTGTTCCTATCCAACCTGGACACGGAGGACATAGACACGCCCGAGATTGTGTGCGTGGACCCCTCCCTCCACTACCAACTCACCGTCTTATGCCTGTCCCATCACATGTATTCCCATGTATTCATCTCACCTCAGGGCGCGGAGCTGTTCCTATCCAACCTGGACACGGAGGACATAGACACGCCCGAGATTGTGTGCGTGGACCCCTCCCTCCACTACCAACTCACCGTCTTATGCCTGTCCCATCACATGTATTCCCATGTATTCATCTCACCTCAGGGCGCGGAGCTGTTCCTATCCAACCTGGACACGGAGGACATAGACACGCCCGAGATTGTGTGCGTGGACCCCTCCCTCCACTACCAACTCACCGTCTTATGCCTGTCCCATCACATGTATTCCCATGTATTCATCTCACCTCAGGGCGCGGAGCTGTTCCTATCCAACCTGGACACGGAGGACATAGACACGCCCGAGATTGTGTGCGTGGACCCCTCCCTCCACTACCAACTCACCGTCTTATGCCTGTCCCATCACATGTATTCCCATGTATTCATCTCACCTCAGGGCGCGGAGCTGTTCCTATCCAACCTGGACACGGAGGACATAGACACGCCCGAGATTGTGTGCGTGGACCCCTCCCTCCACTACCAACTCACCGTCTTATGCCTGTCCCATCACATGTATTCCCATGTATTCATCTCACCTCAGGGCGCGGAGCTGTTCCTATCCAACCTGGACACGGAGGACATAGACACGCCCGAGATTGTGTGCGTGGACCCCTCCCTCCACTACCAACTCACCGTCTTATGCCTGTCCCATCACATGTATTCCCATGTATTCATCTCACCTCAGGGCGCGGAGCTGTTCCTATCCAACCTGGACACGGAGGACATAGACACGCCCGAGATTGTGTGCGTGGACCCCTCCCTCCACTACCAACTCACCGTCTTATGCCTGTCCCATCACATGTATTCCCATGTATTCATCTCACCTCAGGGCGCGGAGCTGTTCCTATCCAACCTGGACACGGAGGACATAGACACGCCCGAGATTGTGTGCGTGGACCCCTCCCTCCACTACCAACTCACCGTCTTATGCCTGTCCCATCACATGTATTCCCATGTATTCATCTCACCTCAGGGCGCGGAGCTGTTCCTATCCAACCTGGACACGGAGGACATAGACACGCCCGAGATTGTGTGCGTGGACCCCTCCCTCCACTACCAACTCACCGTCTTATGCCTGTCCCATCACATGTATTCCCATGTATTCATCTCACCTCAGGGCGCGGAGCTGTTCCTATCCAACCTGGACACGGAGGACATAGACACGCCCGAGATTGTGTGCGTGGACCCCTCCCTCCACTACCAACTCACCGTCTTATGCCTGTCCCATCACATGTATTCCCATGTATTCATCTCACCTCAGGGCGCGGAGCTGTTCCTATCCAACCTGGACACGGAGGACATAGACACGCCCGAGATTGTGTGCGTGGACCCCTCCCTCCACTACCAACTCACCGTCTTATGCCTGTCCCATCACATGTATTCCCATGTATTCATCTCACCTCAGGGCGCGGAGCTGTTCCTATCCAACCTGGACACGGAGGACATAGACACGCCCGAGATTGTGTGCGTGGACCCCTCCCTCCACTACCAACTCACCGTCTTATGCCTGTCCCATCACATGTATTCCCATGTATTCATCTCACCTCAGGGCGCGGAGCTGTTCCTATCCAACCTGGACACGGAGGACATAGACACGCCCGAGATTGTGTGCGTGGACCCCTCCCTCCACTACCAACTCACCGTCTTATGCCTGTCCCATCACATGTATTCCCATGTATTCATCTCACCTCAGGGCGCGGAGCTGTTCCTATCCAACCTGGACACGGAGGACATAGACACGCCCGAGATTGTGTGCGTGGACCCCTCCCTCCACTACCAACTCACCGTCTTATGCCTGTCCCATCACATGTATTCCCATGTATTCATCTCACCTCAGGGCGCGGAGCTGTTCCTATCCAACCTGGACACGGAGGACATAGACACGCCCGAGATTGTGTGCGTGGACCCCTCCCTCCACTACCAACTCACCGTCTTATGCCTGTCCCATCACATGTATTCCCATGTATTCATCTCACCTCAGGGCGCGGAGCTGTTCCTATCCAACCTGGACACGGAGGACATAGACACGCCCGAGATTGTGTGCGTGGACCCCTCCCTCCACTACCAACTCACCGTCTTATGCCTGTCCCATCACATGTATTCCCATGTATTCATCTCACCTCAGGGCGCGGAGCTGTTCCTATCCAACCTGGACACGGAGGACATAGACACGCCCGAGATTGTGTGCGTGGACCCCTCCCTCCACTACCAACTCACCGTCTTATGCCTGTCCCATCACATGTATTCCCATGTATTCATCTCACCTCAGGGCGCGGAGCTGTTCCTATCCAACCTGGACACGGAGGACATAGACACGCCCGAGATTGTGTGCGTGGACCCCTCCCTCCACTACCAACTCACCGTCTTATGCCTGTCCCATCACATGTATTCCCATGTATTCATCTCACCTCAGGGCGCGGAGCTGTTCCTATCCAACCTGGACACGGAGGACATAGACACGCCCGAGATTGTGTGCGTGGACCCCTCCCTCCACTACCAACTCACCGTCTTATGCCTGTCCCATCACATGTATTCCCATGTATTCATCTCACCTCAGGGCGCGGAGCTGTTCCTATCCAACCTGGACACGGAGGACATAGACACGCCCGAGATTGTGTGCGTGGACCCCTCCCTCCACTACCAACTCACCGTCTTATGCCTGTCCCATCACATGTATTCCCATGTATTCATCTCACCTCAGGGCGCGGAGCTGTTCCTATCCAACCTGGACACGGAGGACATAGACACGCCCGAGATTGTGTGCGTGGACCCCTCCCTCCACTACCAACTCACCGTCTTATGCCTGTCCCATCACATGTATTCCCATGTATTCATCTCACCTCAGGGCGCGGAGCTGTTCCTATCCAACCTGGACACGGAGGACATAGACACGCCCGAGATTGTGTGGAACGAAGACATGAAAGAGCGCCTGCGATGCTTCCTGGAAGCGGACTTGCAGCCATACGTGCAGGCGAGGGCAGGGGACCCCCATGCGGTCTATGTGTACGAGCCCAAGCCGCCGCTTGTGTATCCCGAGCTTGCAGGTGAGCTTTGAGACGCCCTGATGGCTTAAGACGCGCCTCAGAAAGTGGGCAGGCGCCTCAGAAAGTGGGCAGGCGCCTCAGAAAGTGGGCAGGCGCCTCAGAATGTGGGCAGGCGCCTCAGAAAGTGGGCAGGCGCCTCAGAAAGTGGGCAGGGGACCCTCGCGCGGTCTATGTGTACGAGCCCAAGCTGCCGCTCGTCTACCCTGAGCTTGCAGGTGAGCTTTGAGATGGTCTGGTGTCTGAGTCGGCTTAAAAAGTACCTGCAGCCGTACGTGCAGGCAGGGGGAGGGGAAACCCACGCGGTGTATGTGTACGAGCCCAAGCCACCACTCGTATATCCTGAGCTCGCAGGTGAGTGTTGAGGCGCTCTGATGGTGAGATGAAACGGTTTGCTTTACAGACGAAACGCCTGAACGGTGATATGATGTGGCGGTTGAATGAGATGAAACGCTTTGTTGAGTGAACCCCATGCTGGCAGGAGTATGTATATGAGCCCAAGCCATCCCGTGTGTGTGAGAGAGGTTGCATTGGAAGCATTGTTCTGCCATGTTGAGTGGAAGTTCCTCCCAGCACGATCTGTGCTCATGAGTAGGGCAGCAGTAGGCAAGGTCGCCTTTAGCAAAGGGAGGATAGTCAACTGGTGAAAAAAGTAACCCTCGAAAAGTTTGATTAAGATCCGAATGTACAACTCAGTTCAAACTCTAGACGAAAGCATTGTTCTGCCATGTTGAGAGAAAGTTCCTCCCAGCACGATCTGACCACCTGCGCTCTGCATCTGTCTCTACCTTTTGAGAAAAACCACATCTTCGTTGTGCTTGTGTGGTGTACCTGCACAATGTGCTGCACGCGGAGAGGTTTCCTGAATGGTCCTTCATTGAGTCGACTCAAAAGTCACCTCTTCTACCATCCCAGTTGTGCTGGTGAACCTGCACAATGTGCTGCACGCGGAGAGGTTTCCTTGAGTGTGATTTCAGCACTCTGAGAAGCTCGATTGACAACATGTTTCCTTCTTCCACCTTCCTTTCTCCCATCCTCTCTGCCTTCCTTTCTCCCTTCGCAGGCACCGTCTTTGTTGCGCCGGTGCCTACCATCCCAGTTGTGCTGCTGTACCTGCACAACGTGCTGGACACGGAGAGGTGCCTCTTGAAGTGCTCTCGGCGCCCTGAGAGGCAGGCACCGTCTTTGTGGCACTGGTGTACCTGCACAACGTGCTGGACTCGGAGATGTTCCCTTGACCATGCTTCCATCACCCTGAGAAGCTCCACTATCCATGTTTCCTCTGCCTGCTCTGTGTGTATGCTTCTTCCTTCCATCCCTTCCATCCCAGGCACCATCTTCGTGGCGCCGGTGTATCTACACAACGTGCTGGACGCTGAGAGGTTCCCGGCGCACCAGGTGTTTGACTCCACGTCCTTCCACCACAGCGTGCTCCGGGTGAGTGGAGTGCTCAGGGTGAGTGGATGCTCAGGGTGAGTGGAGTGCTCAGGATGAGTGGAGTGCTGAGGGTGAGTGGAGTGCTGAGGGTGAGTGGAGTGCTGAGGGTGAGTGGAGTGCTGAGGGTGAGTGGAGTGCTGAGGGTGAGTGGAGTGCTCAGGGTGAGTGGAGTGCTGAGGGTGAGTGGAGTGCTGAGGGTGAGTGGAGTGCTGAGGGTGAGTGGAGTGCTGAGGGTGAGTGGAGTGCTGAGGGTGAGTGGAGTGCTCAGGGTGAGTGGAGTGCTCAGGGTGAGTGGAGTGCTGAGGGTGAGTGGAGTGCTGAGGGTGAGTGGAGTGCTCAGGGTGAGTGGAGTGCTGAGGGTGAGTGGAGTGCTCAGGGTGAGTGGAGTGCTCAGGGTGAGTGGAGTGCTCAGGGTGAGTGGAGTGCTGAGGGTGAGTGGAGTGCTGAGGGTGAGTGGAGTGCTGAGGGTGAGTGGAGTTCTGAGGGTGAGTGGAGTGCTGAGGGTGAGTGGAGTGCTGAGGGTGAGTGGAGTGCTGAGGGTGAGTGGAGTGCTGAGGGTGAGTGGAGTGCTGAGGGTGAGTGGAGTGCTGAGGGTGAGTGGAGTGCTGAGGGTGAGTGGAGTGCTGAGGGTGAGTGGAGTGCTCAGGGTGAGTGGAGTGCTGAGGGTGAGTGGAGTGCTGAGGGTGAGTGGAGTGCTGAGGGTGAGTGGAGTGCTGAGGGTGAGTGGAGTGCTGAGGGTGAGTGGAGTGCTGAGGGTGAGTGGAGTGCTGAGGGTGAGTGGAGTGCTGAGGGTGAGTGGAGTGCTGAGGGTGAGTGGAGTGCTGAGGGTGAGTGGAGTGCTCAGGGTGAGTGGAGTGCTCAGGGTGAGTGGAGTGCTCAGGGTGAGTGGAGTGCTGAGGGTGAGTGGAGTGCTGAGGGTGAGTGGAGTGCTGAGGGTGAGTGGAGTGCTGAGGGTGAGTGGAGTGCTGAGGGTGAGTGGAGTGCTGAGGGTGAGTGGAGTGCTGAGGGTGAGTGGAGTGCTCAGGGTGAGTGGAGTGCTCAGGGTGAGTGGAGTGCTCAGGGTGAGTGGAGTGCTCAGGGTGAGTGGAGTGCTGAGGGTGAGTGGAGTGCTGAGGGTGAGTGGAGTGCTGAGGGTGAGTGGAGTGCTGAGGGTGAGTGGAGTGCTGAGGGTGAGTGGAGTGCTGAGGGTGAGTGGAGTGCTGAGGGTGAGTGGAGTGCTGAGGGTGAGTGGAGTGCTCAGGGTGAGTGGAGTGCTCAGGGTGAGTGGAGTGCTCAGGGTGAGTGGAGTGCTGAGGGTGAGTGGAGTGCTGAGGGTGAGTGGAGTGCTCAGGGTGAGTGGAGTGCTCAGGGTGAGTGGAGTGCTCAGGGTGAGTGGAGTGCTCAGGGTGAGTGGAGTGCTGAGGGTGAGTGGAGTGCTGAGGGTGAGTGGAGTGCTGAGGGTGAGTGGAGTTCTGAGGGTGAGTGGAGTGCTGAGGGTGAGTGGAGTGCTCAGGATGAGTGGAGTGCTAGGGTGCTATGAGTGCAACTGCATTCCCTCACATTTCCCCCCCACTCCCTGTCTCACCTGCCTCTCTGCTTAAGAGTATGTGCGCATTCCACATGCACCTCAGCGGGGGGCAGTGCGGTGGTTTGGCTGAATCTGTATTCCCTCTCACCTCTGTGCCCCATAAATCTCCTCTTCCCTATATCCCCTTCACCCATCCCCATTATGTAAGCTCTCCCCTCCCCAGGAGTACGAGCCCATTCCGCAGGCCACCTCAGCAGGGGGCAGTGGTGCAGTGACGTGTTTGGCAGAGAATGTTGTCCTTCTCACACCTCTTCCCTCTTTCCATCTCCCCATCTCCCCTCCCCCATCTCCCCTTCCCCCATCCCCCTTTCATTCGTCCCCCTTCTCCCCTCCCCCCAGGAGTACGAGCGCATTCTGCAAGCCACGTCAGCAGGGGGCGGTGGTGCAGTGACGTGGCGCCAGGAAGCCCCACGGCTCGTGCTGCTGCTCAAGGCGCAGGTGAGGCGTCAGGTCCTATAAACAGAGACGTCAGGTGTCGCATCTGGTGCTAGCAAGTGAGGCATGCGGTGCCAAGAAGTGGGGCGTCAGGGTGTTAGCAGGTGAGGCATGAGGTGCGATCAGGGGGAAGCAGCATCAGACGTTTTGTCATCGAAAGGGGGAGTTCCTTTGCATCAGAATCCCGGGTGGCATCGCATCTGCTGCCCTGCTGTGCCTCTGCCCCTCCGCCTCCTAGGTTGTGGTATTCCACAGGTGGCCGTCAAACTCCATGATAAAGAGGTGACTTTTGAGTCGACTCAAAAGTCTCCTAGGTTGTGGATATTCCACAGGTGGCCGTCGAACTCCATGATAAAGGGCTCTACACCATTTCCACCTTTCAGTTGCTCGTTTCTTGCATTCTCCTTGCCTCTGTCTGTTTCCTTGTTCCCCAGGCAGTCATTCCGAACCTGCATCTATCCCTCCCTCCATCCCGTTCTCCACACCCTCCCAGACAGTGATTCTGGACTGCTATCCGCGGTTCCTTGTGTAGAGGCGGAGAGTGTAGTGATCGACATGGCGACCCCAGCGCTGCGTGTGTGCATCGCTCTGAAGGATGACTTCTCAAACGCTTCTTGCCTCATTCTTCCTCTTCTATCATCTCCCGCTTTCCCTCCCTGCCCCCTCCCTACCTTCCTCTCTCCCCAACCCCTCGCTTCCCCCTTTTCTTCCCCCCTCCCAGGCAGTGATTCTGGACCGGTACCCACAGATCCCTCTGGGAGCAGAGGCAGAGAGCGTGGTGATCGACATGGCTACCCCAGCGCTGCGTGTGTGCATCGCTCAGAGGGACGACTGCCCCCCTCAGATGGCCGATATCCTGCAGCATGCTGCTAAGATCCTCCGGGGGATTGCGGCTACCAGAGACAAGTGAGTCAGGGGTCTTAGGAGTCAGGGTTTTGTGCATCAAGGTTCTTATTCCACCCAAGCGTCTCTCAGAGGGACGACTGCCCGCCTCAGATGGCCGATATCCTGCAGCATGCTGCTAAGATCCTCCGGGGAATTGCGGCTACCAGAGACAAGTGAGTCAGGGGTCTTGACTAAATGTTTCTTTGTATTTATGAGGCTTTCAGATGGCTTGCCAACGATTGCAGCATATTGCTACAATCCTGAATTTCCACTGGAGACAAGTGCGTTAAGTGTTATTGCAGGGAAAAGTATTTTGCCCACCCTCTTATTTAATCAGCGTACAGATTTACTCACCGAATGTTGTAATCTCCTCGTCCTTCCCTTTCTTCCCATCCCGTCTCCGTTACCTTCCCTCCTCCCTCCCTCCCTCCCTTTCTCCCTTCCTCCACAGGGACGCGGACGTATCTCAGCCGTCCATCAACTTCGCCCTAAGCGTGCTGTCCTGTGGAGCACGTGTGAAGTCGGACGGAAGCTTCCCCGACTCCCCTGCCAAGTCCCCTCTCGAGCCCGCTCTCTCCTGCGCCCTCTCCATCCTCGAACTCGCCGCCTCCTCCAAGTGAGTGCTGTCTGTTGCTGCCTCGTCCAGGTGAGTCCTGTGTGTCACAAGGCACGTGCTGCAGACGTATGCAACCACAAGTCAGCGTCTACTACTCCCCTGCTGCCAAGTCCCCCCTCGAGCCCGCTCTCTCCTGCGCCCTCTCCATCCTCGAACTCGCCGCCTCCTCCAAGTGAGTGCTGTCTGTTGCTGCCTCGTCCAGGTGAGTCCTGTGTGTCACAAGGCACGTGCTGCAGACGTATGCAACCACAAGTCAGCGTCTACTACTCCCCTGCTGCCAAGTCCCCCCTCGAGCCTGCCCTCTCCTGCGCCCTCTCCATCCTCGAACTCGCCGCCTCCTCCAAGTGAGTGCTGTCTGTTGCTGCCTCGTCCAGGTGAGTCCTGTGTGTCACAAGGCACGTGCTGCAGACGTATGCAACCACAAGTCAGCGTCTACTACTCCCCTGCTGCCAAGTCCCCCCTCGAGCCCGCTCTCTCCTGCGCCCTCTCCATCCTCGAACTCGCCGCCTCCTCCAAGTGAGTGCTGTCTGTTGCTGCCTCGTCCAGGTGAGTCCTGTGTGTCACAAGGCACGTGCTGCAGACGCATGCAACCACAAGTCAGCGTCTACTACTCCCCTGCTGCCAAGTCCCCCCTCGAGCCCGCTCTCTCCTGCGCCCTCTCCATCCTCGAACTCGCCGCCTCCTCCAAGTGAGTGCTGTCTGTTGCTGCCTCGTCCAGGTGAGTCCTGTGTGTCACAAGGCACGTGCTACAGACGTATGCAACCACAAGTCAGCGTCTACTACTCCCCTGCTGCCAAGTCCCCCCTCGAGCCCGCTCTCTCCTGCGCCCTCTCCATCCTCGAACTCGCCGCCTCCTCCAAGTGAGTGCTGTCTGTTGCTGCCTCGTCCAGGTGAGTCCTGTGTGTCACAAGGCACGTGCTGCAGACGTATGCAACCACAAGTCAGCGTCTACTACTCCCCTGCTGCCAAGTCCCCCCTCGAGCCCGCTCTCTCCTGCGCCCTCTCCATCCTCGAACTCGCCGCCTCCTCCAAGTGAGTGCTGTCTGTTGCTGCCTCGTCCAGGTGAGTCCTGTGTGTCACAAGGCACGTGCTACAGACGTATGCAACCACAAGTCAGCGTCTACTACTCCCCTGCTGCCAAGTCCCCCCTCGAGCCCGCTCTCTCCTGCGCCCTCTCCATCCTCGAACTCGCCGCCTCCTCCAAGTGAGTGCTGTCTGTTGCTGCCTCGTCCAGGTGAGTCCTGTGTGTCACAAGGCACGTGCTGCAGACGTATGCAACCACAAGTCAGCGTCTACTACTCCCCTGCTGCCAAGTCCCCCCTCGAGCCCGCTCTCTCCTGCGCCCTCTCCATCCTCGAACTCGCCGCCTCCTCCAAGTGAGTGCTGTCTGTTGCTGCCTCGTCCAGGTGAGTCCTGTGTGTCACAAGGCACGTGCTGCAGACGTATGCAACCACAAGTCAGCGTCTACTACTCCCCTGCTGCCAAGTCCCCCCTCGAGCCCGCTCTCTCCTGCGCCCTCTCCATCCTCGAACTCGCCGCCTCCTCCAAGTGAGTGCTGTCTGTTGCTGCCTCGTCCAGGTGAGTCCTGTGTGTCACAAGGCACGTGCTGCAGACGTATGCAACCACAAGTCAGCGTCTACTATTCCCCTGCTGCCAAGTCCCCCCTCGAGCCCGCTCTCTCCTGCGCCCTCTCCATCCTCGAACTCGCCGCCTCCTCCAAGTGAGTGCTGTCTGTTGCTGCCTCGTCCAGGTGAGTCCTGTGTGTCACAAGGCACGTGCTGCAGACGTATGCAACCACAAGTCAGCGTCTACTACTCCCCTGCTGCCAAGTCCCCCCTCGAGCCCGCTCTCTCCTGCGCCCTCTCCATCCTCGAACTCGCCGCCTCCTCCAAGTGAGTGCTGTCTGTTGCTGCCTCGTCCAGGTGAGTCCTGTGTGTCACAAGGCACGTGCTACAGACGTATGCAACCACAAGTCAGCGTCTACTACTCCCCTGCTGCCAAGTCCCCCCTCGAGCCCGCTCTCTCCTGCGCCCTCTCCATCCTCGAACTCGCCGCCTCCTCCAAGTGAGTGCTGTCTGTTGCTGCCTCGTCCAGGTGAGTCCTGTGTGTCACAAGGCACGTGCTGCAGACGTATGCAACCACAAGTCAGCGTCTACTATTCCCCTGCTGCCAAGTCCCCCCTCGAGCCTGCCCTCTCCTGCGCCCTCTCTATCCTCGAGCTCGCCGCCTCCTCCAAGTGAGTGCTGTCTGTTGCTGCCTCGTCCAGGTGAGTCCTGTGTGTCACAAGGCACGTGCTGCAGACGTATGCAACCACAAGTCAGCGTCTACTATTCCCCTGCTGCCAAGTCCCCCCTCGAGCCCGCTCTCTCCTGCGCCCTCTCCATCCTCGAACTCGCCGCCTCCTCCAAGTGAGTGCTGTCTGTTGCTGCCTCGTCCAGGTGAGTCCTGTGTGTCACAAGGCACGTGCTGCAGACGTATGCAACCACAAGTCAGCGTCTACTACTCCCCTGCTGCCAAGTCCCCCCTCGAGCCCGCTCTCTCCTGCGCCCTCTCCATCCTCGAACTCGCCGCCTCCTCCAAGTGAGTGCTGTCTGTTGCTGCCTCGTCCAGGTGAGTCCTGTGTGTCACAAGGCACGTGCTGCAGACGTATGCAACCACAAGTCAGCGTCTACTACTCCCCTGCTGCCAAGTCCCCCCTCGAGCCCGCTCTCTCCTGCGCCCTCTCCATCCTCGAACTCGCCGCCTCCTCCAAGTGAGTGCTGTCTGTTGCTGCCTCGTCCAGGTGAGTCCTGTGTGTCACAAGGCACGTGCTGCAGACGTATGCAACCACAAGTCAGCGTCTACTATTCCCCTGCTGCCAAGTCCCCCCTCGAGCCTGCCCTCTCCTGCGCCCTCTCTATCCTCGAGCTCGCCGCCTCCTCCAAGTGAGTCCCGTGGGTCACAAGGCACGTGCTGCAGGTGTATGCAATGCAACTATGCATTGCAACCACGAGGAAGCTTCCCCGACTCCCCTGCCAAGTCCCCTCTCGATCCCGCCCTCTCCTGCGCCCTCTCCATCCTCGTCGGCGCCGCCTCGTCTAAGTGACTTCTGTCTCTTGCGGCCTCATCCAAGCGAGTCTTGACTTTCGAGTCACACATATGCAACTCACAATGCACCTTTGTAACCTCCCGTCATCTCCCTCCCACAACCATCACAACTACAAAGAGCGGCGAAAGCAGCTGAGTGATGCTGTGCGGTGACGCCTTTTGAGGCGCCTCAAAAGCAGCTGAGTGATGCTGTGCGGTGGCACAAGGGCTTCTGGTGGGCGGTTTGCTCATCGTGACCTTTGCATCCCCCCAAAACCCCCCATTAACCACCATAACCTCTCATAACCATTACAGGGAGGGGCGCAAGCAGGCGAGGGACGACGTGCGGTGGCGCAAGGGCTTCTGGTGGGCGCTGTGGTTCGCTGCCGGGGAGAGCAGCCGGGGCAGCAACCTCCTTCACTCCGTTTATTCGCACATCCATTTTAACCCCTCTGGACCCCTCACAACCTCTCTTGACCACAGGGAGGGGCGCAAGCAGCTGAGGGACGACGTGCGGTGGCGCAAGGGCTTCTGGTGGGCGCTGTGCTCTGCTGCGGGGGAGAGCAGCCGGAGCAGCGCCGATGGGGTGCCCTGCTCGCTGGCCTTTGCTGCTCTCGACTGCCTTAACCACTTCGCTGGGGACCGGGACATGTGCTACCGGCTGATCAACCAGGTGGGGCGAGCATATTTGTGCTTTTGAGTATGCATGTGGTTTTGAGGTGTCTCACAAGTGGATGGCGTGCCGTGCCGTGCTCTCTGGCCTTTGCTGCTCTGAACTGCCTCAACCACTTCGCTGGTGACCGAGACATGTGCTACCGGTTGATCAACCAGGTGGGGATCGGGTGCATACATGCTTTTGGTGTGTGCCCCTTCGAGGTGTCTGAAAGGCAGTGGGTGCTCGCTGGCCTTTGCTGCTCTTGACTGCCTCAACCACTTCGTTGGGGACCGGGACATGTGCTACCGGCTGATCAACCCAGGCGGGTGAAGCATGCGTGTGAGTGAGTATGTATATCCGGTGTATTTGGTGTATTCGGTGTATTCGGTGTATTCGTTGTATTTGGTGTATTTGGTGTATTTGGTGTATTCGGTGTATTCGGTGTATTCGTTGTATTTGGTGTATTTGGTGTATTTGGTGTATTCGGTGTATTCGGTGTATTCGGTGTATTCGGTGTATTTGGTGTATTCGGTGTATTCGGTGTATTTGTTTGTGTGTGCGACAATGCCAGTCGTTATTTCTCTCCCTTCCACCCCCCTCCCTTTCTTCCCCCCTCGTCCCGCACCCCTCTTCCAATGAGCAGGCCCTTCATGTGCCCCTCCTGCTGCTCGTGTATTGAGTCGATATTTTTGGTGCCTTAAAAATCCCTCCCCGTCCCTCCCTCCCCTTCCTTCCCCCCTTCGCCTGCGCGCTTCTTCCAATGGCTAGGCCCTTCATCTGCCGCTGCTGCTCCTCGCTGTTCCGTCTTTGAGACATCTCAAATATCATTCTCCCTTCTCTTCGCCCCCCACCCTTCCTTTCCCCCCATCACCGCACACCCCCCTTCCACCGGCCAGGCCCTTCATCTGCCGCTGCTGCTCCTCGCTGTTCCATCAGAGTCAACCCTCGAGGATGAGCGGCGTCGCAATGAAACAGGTAGGCAGGCCAGTGTGAAACAAGAAAGTCAAGTCATGCAGGTCATGGAGGCGACTCAAAACTCCTCGCCGTTCCATCAGAGTCAACCCTCGAGGATGAGCGGCATCGCAATGAAACAGGTAGGCAGGCCAGTGTGGAACAAGAAAGTCAAGTCATGCAGGTCATGGAGGCGACTCAAAACTCCTCGCCGTTCCATCAGATTCAACCCTCGAGGATGAGCGGCGTCGCAACGAAACAGTTAGGCCAAGCCATTGCGCCATACCAAGGGTGCATTGGTATGTGAGGGTGAACTGATAGGTCAAGGGGAACTGGTAGGTCAGGGTGAGTCAAATGCAAACAGGTACACCGAGGGATACACATCAGTTACGGCATTGCATTGTGGTGAGCTGAGGCATAGAGGTGAGCCGAGGTGAACAGGTGGAGGTAAGATAATTTCTGCAGGCTGATTCAGTGTTTAACCATGTTTGATTGTCCGGTTCCAGCTTAAGGCACCTGCAATGTTTCAAATCTTGAGTGCTATAACGTGTGATATTCCTTCCTGCTTCCCACTTTGTCTTGCCCAAGCAGGTCAAGAACCCAACTTCGGAGCGAAAGCATTACAGCAGGTGGCAGCAGAGGTGCTCCGAACGCTCGCAATCACTCTTGAGCAGGCCCTGCCGCCTGATGGCGAACCAAGCCTCCGAGGCTCTCTGCCGCACATGCAGCAGTTGGAGCAGCAGCAGTCCTCTGCCCCCTCCCAATCACCTCCTGTGTGTGTCCTCCTTCCCTTCCTGCTGCCCTTCGACATGTTTTCCTTGCCCAAGCAGGTCAGGAGCCCAACTTCAGAGCGAAAGCATTGCAGCAGGTGGCAGCCGAAGTCCTTCGCACACTCGCGATCACTCTTGAGCAGGCCCTGCCGCCCGACGGCGAGCCGAGCCCCCGAGGCTCCCTGCTGCACATGCAGCAGTTGGAGCAGCAGCAGCAGGAGCAGGAGCAGGGCGGGCTGCTCTCATACGTCATCCCCTGGGGTCTGCTAGACGCGCTCAAGAATCCCGATGCTGGGGCGGCGAAGCTTGTCGCATTGGTGGGCGCGGACGGCGAGATGCCGACCGCGATTTGGAACGCGGCGGTGCGGGAGGAGCTTAGGGGGAAGGTGGAGGCGCGGATTAAGAGGTTCAATCTGGCGCAAGCTGGAGGAGGGGCAGGAGGAGGAGGAGGAGGAACGGAGGAGGAAGATGAAGTGGCGTGGCTGCGCTCGTTCAGGTGAGAATGGGCGGTATCAGTGGGTACCAGGCGGTATCAGGCAGTGTGAGGTGGTATTATGGGCGTTGATAGGGATGCGGAGTGTGAGAGTAGGAGATGCTACGAACACAACGGTGAGGGAGGAGCTGCGGAGGAACGTGGGGGCGCTGTTTAGGAGGGGCGCTGTTTAGGAGGGGCGCTGTTTAGGAGGGGCGCTGCTTAGGAGGGGCGCTGTTTAGGAGGGGCGCTGTTTAGGAGGGGCGCTGTTTAGGAGGGGCGCTGTTTAGGAAGGGCGCTGCTTAGGAGGGGCGCTGTTTAGGAAGGGCGCTGCTTAGGAGGGGCGCTGTTTAGGAAGGGCGCTGCTTAGGAGGGGCGCTGTTTAGGAAGGGCGCTGCTTAGGAGGGGCGCTGTTTAGGAAGGGCGCTAGGAGGGGCGCTGTTTAGGCGCTGGATTCAGTCTGGTGCGGGCGGAGGGTGCTGGAGGGATGGGGGGAGGAGCGGAGGAGGAAGACGAGGTGGCGCCTCAAAAGTTCACCTTCTCATCTAATCCCCCTCTTACTCTTATCTCCCTTGTTTCCATTGTCTCCTCGCTCTTCTTTCCCAAACTCTTTCGTTTCTCTCGTTGCGGCTCTCATTCTTTCTTTCCCATCTCCTTTGCTTTTCTCGTTCCTTATTGCTCTCCTCGCTATTCTCGTGTTTGTCAGGTACGATTGCCTCAAGGACGAAATGGTTATTTCAGGCATCTTCGTCCGGGGGTACGCTGCGGGCAGCTGGGAAAACTTCGACCTGCCCGACGGCCGTGCGTTTCTCATGGCTCTTCAGGACTATCTCCGCTCCTCTCTCCCCATCATCTCCTCCCAATCCTCCTCTTCCTCCACCCTCATCACTCCTCCATCTCCTAGCAGCATTGTCACCACCTCAGCAGCTGCCTTTGCCTCACAGCCTCCCACTGTCGCCGGGTTTCTAATGGTACTTAAAGCCCTGGCGGAATGCATTAGGTATGCGGTAGAAGACGGCAAGAGGGGCATGCTGGCTCACATAGACTATCTTCTCCTTGCGGAAATTTTGGCGGCTGCCCCGGATACGCTTCCAACTGCCCGGCGGCTGGTCGTGGGCATCGCGCAGATTGTTTCAGGTGCCCCTACGAGCCGAGAGCAGCTGCTGGGGTCGTCTTTGCTGCCCGTTTTGGCACGGCAGCTATGGAGATCGATCACCATACCAGGAACGGGAGTGGAAGAGGGGGTGGTGGCACCAGAAGGGGAGGAGGATTTCGGGGCGGGGTTGAGTGAACTGGCACTGGCGATTCTCGACGCGGTTTTGGATCTAAGTGTGGAAATGGCAGCAGTTGTAGCAGTTACCAATCATTTCAGTTCCAGCAGCCTGCTTCTCGTGCTGCTCGCGCTCTTCCTCCGGGTTCCCCTGCCCCCGTTTAAGGGCACTTCGAAAAAAGCTGCCGGGCAGGCGTGGAGCGAGGCGGAAGAGGCAGGAGTGCTGGACACGGCGCAGTTTCGAGCTGCCCAGATTCTCGGGCAGCTACTGCTGGCGGCCTGTGGAGTGCAGGACCGGGCGAAATTTATTGCCGGGATTGAGGAGGATGGAGGGTCAGCAGCAGCGTTGGGTGACGGCACGAACGGGATTGATAGCCTATCGGTGGATGAGGAGGTGTTTTCCGACCCTCACGGGGACGTTCGGGATATCCACAACCTGATTTCGCTTCTGGAGCCAGGTGCGGCGCCGGCCGTGCCTCTCATCTCGGTTCGGGTGCTGTACCTGCTGCTGCCGATGCGAATCCTCTCGCTCCTCATGTCCGATCCTGAGGGAGCGTGCCGGGCTATCGGGTCTCCCAGTTGCACCCCGCTGCTTGTGTGGAATGACGCTTCGGCTAGAAGAGCGAGGGATGCGATTAAGAGAGAGGCTGAGGAGGTGCTGAAGAGGCATGAGGGGGAGGTGAGTGAGGGGAAGCAACAGCTAGGGCTGCCTATGTGGGACCTAGAGGCTGGGGAGGAGCCGGACGGCGGCAGTGTGGGGCGAGGCGGGGAGGAAGCAGCGGCGTTTCGACCTTTCTTCCTGCAGTATGTGCGAGAAAGCATCGAGTTGGCTAAGGATGAAGGAGAGGGAGCGGCAGGAGCGGGAGAGGCGGCGGAAACGTTGTTTTCGGAGCAGGAAAAGGCGGGGTACGTCCCGGAGATGTACATTGGTGGGTGTTACGTGGACCAGTTGTTGCGGCAGCCGAGATTTGATCTCGGGAAGCGAGTGGAGCTGCAACTGGTGAGGGAGATTCGGAAGGCTATAGTCACTGCTGCGCCGAACGAAGGCAAGAGATACGAGGAGTTTACTACTGCGGATCGTAGACGGCTCCTTCTGGCCCTGCTCGCACTTTTCCAGAGCCGCCCGCACCTGCTGACCATCACCAACACGGACATTTTCCTGCCCGTGACGGACTTTTTCACGTCGGGCAGCGGCGAGGAGCGGCGAGCGCTGTTGCAGGCCGGCGTGTTACTGTTCCTGCGCATGGTTACTTCGAATGACGTGGCGGATTTCGTCTCTTCTGAGGAGCTGATTTCGCTGCTGTCGAAGCTGCTGTTGCTGGAGGTACCGGCAGGGAGACAGGGGCAAGCTGCTACTGATCCAAGGGTATGCGCACTGATGCTCATGCAGAAGCTGTTTAGACTTAGCTCCAAGGCTGTTGAGTTGGGGTTGCAGCATCAGGTGGTGGATCGTCTGGCATCGCTTGTACTCGATACGGAGAACTCCATTATCGTGCGTGCGCGCGCTGCTGCTGTGCTGGGAGCTATGGCTGGGGAGAGGCGGCTGGGGCCTGAGATTACAAGGCAGGCGGAGAGGATTTTGCCGGAGAGTTACAAGAATCATATTGCTTGGAAGGTGGGGTTTTTGAAGCAAGGGGCAGAAGAGATCGGGCAGAAAAGCGTCCCGGCACTTTCAGAGGAGATTGAGGTTAAAACCATGCGGCACTTACTTAAGTACCCGCTGCCGTGTGCTTGGTGGACAACGGATATTCCTGAGGACGGGGGAATGGAAGGAGGAGGAGGGGAAGGGGGTGGTGGGGAAGGGGAGGATGGAAACGACGGGCCGACAGCTGTCGTGGAAGCTGCCTTGATGTTTCCTGCTGCCAGGCTGGACGCATGGAACGATGAGGTGGACGGGGCTTTAAGGCACGGGCTGGCTGCTGCTGCTCTCACCAACACGCGAAACGTGAGGATTTTGAGGAAGAAGCTGGCCGGGGCGAAGGGGGTGCTGGTGGAGGTAGAACTGCAGTTCCAACCACCCCCAGGTGCTGCCGCGAGAGCCAAGAAGGGCGAGACTGCAAGGACATCGGTGGATGATCCGGCGAAGGCCGCCCGCACGTTCAAGCAGAGGTTGGAGACTCAGCTGGGGGGCATGCTCGCCCCAGAGGTGTTTGAGTCGATGGGTAACCCGGCTGTCCGCTCCTCGACGGTTAGAAGCTGGGGGCGATGATCAGGTGGTTATGCTGATCGTGAGACATCTCGGAATCTGTCTGCCCATGGGTGTTCCTCTACGGTTAGAAGCTGGGGGCGATGATCAGGTGGTTATGCTGATCGTGAGACATCTCGGAATCTGTGTGCCCATGGGTTTTCCTCTACGGTTAGAAGCTGGGGGCGATGAATTGCTTGCTGGTCATGCTGATTGTGAGACATCTTGGGATTCGTGTGCTCATGGGTTCTCCGGCTGTTCTTTCTTCAACGGTTAGAAGCTGGGGGCGATGATCTAGCGGCGGTGATGGTGTTGTTGGTGCATTTGCAACAAGGTGGTTTATGGGGTTTACTGAGATGTAACTGGGGGTTATGTTAGTGTTAGTGGTGGTTTAACCTGTGCGAAGGATACCGTGACTCTGCAGCAGCTAACAACTGGTTGAGTCTGGGAGAATCAGGCGAGAAGGCCTTTTGCAGAGGTGGTGAGCCTGCAATTGCCACCAATTTAGTATTCCATAACCAGCTACTGTGGTTTTCAGTGTTTCATTCAAACAAGCACTTAATAGTGGAGTCTAGTGGTGGCTAGCGTTGTACAGACGATCCATTTGTTCAAGTGCTTCGCAAAAATGCAATAGGGGATCGGTAATGAACTGGGCACAACGATCCTTTTGCACTTCGCTAATTGGTCGACCCACTTTCTTTGAGATCTTCTGGTCTCAAAACGTAATCATGACGTGTCACTGACAATAATCGACACTGTCGTCCTGCCTGCCTCAATATTGGTTGCACAATAACCAAATTCAGGTGAAATTCTTAAGACGTGTTGGCAGGCCTGGCCACATTATTAGTCACGAAAGTTCATTCTCTACGAAGAGCCCCGAAGTAGCGAACACGCAGGCGAACTCTCTGACGAAATTCCGTAACACACATGGCGACAGCGGCTTCAGCTTCGGTTTCGTTGGCGTCGAGCGCCAGAATCGGCGCATCGCGGCCTCTCAGAGCCCTAGCCCCCGCCAGCAATTTCTCCAGTACTAGCACACCCATTACTAGCACGTCCTGCCTCGTGTCGCTCGCTCGGCCAGACGCACTCAATTCCTGCGGCCGCGTAGCGGTTCAACCAGCGGGACTGCGGTTAGGTAGTCAAGCGTTGCCGAATGGTCGGCTGCGCGGAGCAGGTGTTAGCGTTCGAGCGGCGGCCGATGCGGCTGCGAGTGCTTCCGCGACGGACTCGCGGGCTTCAGAGCTGGTCGATAAACTGCTCTCCATGGTCAGCATTTTTTGTGTTTTCCTTTGGTAATAAGCCGTAAAACAGAGTGTTGACGCTATTCGAGAAACCATGCTGTGCTTTGTCTACCCAAGGGTTAAGGACGCGGTTAGAGGGGTAGCAATGAGCGATGAGAGAAGGGAGGCAGGGTAGGGTAGGGTAGGAAGGGAAGCGAAGGAAAAGGCAGGGCGAGTCAGGGCAGGGAGATAAGAATGCATGCTGTACTGTTTCCAGCCGGCAGGTGAAGGACTCGGACAGAGGGGCGGCGATGAGCGATGAGGGCCGGGAAGGGGATGGCAGGGTAGAACAGGGCGGAGCAGGGCAGAGCAGGGTGGGGCAGGGCGATAAGACCTCAGTTTGTACTTTTTTTTCCCCCTGCAGGTGAAAGACACGGACAGAGGGGCGGCGATGAGCGACGAGGGCAGGGCGGCAGTGACGGGGCAGGGCAGGAAGATGAAATGCGTTGCGTGCTTTATTTCTCCTCCCCGCCAGGTGAAGGACTCGGACCGAGGGGCGGCGATGAGCGACGAGGGCCGGGCGGCAGTGACGGCGATAGTGGAGCAGCTGGAAGCAATGGGGCTGGAAGAGCCGCTCAAGAGTCCCTTAGTGTTTGGAGGTACGTACACGCTGAGAGAGTGACAGTACAGGCTGTAGGGATTGTACGGGAACCGGTGAAAAGGGTGTGGTAGTGGAGCAGCTGGAAGCAATGGGGCTGGAGGAGCCGCTCAAGAGTCCCTTAGTGTTTGGAGGTACGTACACGCTGAGAGAGTGACAGTACAGGCTGTAGGGATTGTACGGGAACCGGTGAAAAGGGTGTGGTAGTGGAGCAGCTGGAAGCAATGGGGCTGGAGGAGCCGCTTAAGAGCCCGCTGGTGTTCGGAGGTAAGCAGACGTTAATAGCAAGGGATTGTAAGGTCGAGTGTAAAGGGCATGAGAGAGGAGCAGCTGGAAGCAATGCGGCTGGAGGAGCCGCTCAAGAGCCCGCTGGTGTTGGGAGGTAAGCGTGCTTGCATACGGCAATGGGCCATGTCGCAAAGGGCTGTACTGGAGTCAAAGGAAGGGCACGAGAGTGGAGCGGCTGGAGGCCGTGGGGCTGGGGGAGCCGCTCAAGAGCCCGCTGGTGTTCGGAGGTAAGCCAGCGCTAAGGCCAAGGGACAGCAGGGACCGCGGGGACCCTAGGGATTGTAGAGACAGCAGGGACCGCAGGGACCCTAGGGACCATAGGGACCGTAGGGACCCTAGGGATTGTAGAGACCGCAGGGACCGCAGGGACCCTAGGGATTGTAGAGACAGCAGGGACCGCAGGGACCCTGGGGATTGTAGAGACAGCAGGGACCGCAGGGACTTTAGGGACATCCATCATGGAGTCACGTTTGAGAATTCTCAGGCGTGAAATGCTGCTGCTTGGGAACGACTTTTGAGACGTCTCAAAACATTCTGCTTGGCAACGACTTAACTCTCTCCTCCTGCTGCTGTCAAAAAAGGTACATTCATCATGCCCTCTCTGACCTGTTCATCGCTCCCCCTGTGTGACTAAAAGCGAGAATGACTGTATGCACGTGCGTGTGCATGTGTGGGCTACTACCGCAGCATGCTGGGATGCACGCTGCTGCGATCCAACCAGCACCTGCAGACTCATTAACCAACCCCACCGCCCCTTACTCTCCCTCTGACTTGTGTGCACCTGTCTGTCTCTACCCGCACGCCAGCACGGGAGGTGGCATACACGTCGCGCCCCACAGCAGCAGGCGGGTACTACCACAGCACGCTGGGGCGCACACTGCTGAGATCCAACCACCACCTCCACACGGCTTCCTTGACCCACCCACCACCCCTTATTCCCTCTGTGCCTCTATCTATCTCTGTGCCCCCTCACAACAGCATGGGAGGTGGCATACACATCTAGACCCACAGCAGCGGGGGGCTACTACCGCAGCATGCTGGGGCGCACACTGCTGCGATCCAAGGACCTGGTGCAGACCATCTACCCGCCCAACGGGGTGGATAACTTAGTGGAGTTTGATGCGCTCTCGCTGATCCCCGGCAGCATCAGCCTTAAAGGTGGGATGCAGTTTGGTTGGGTGCGGTCCGGTGCCAGGTAGATAGATGTCTCAAGGTAACCACCTGCTGCGATCCAAGGACCTGGTGCAAACCATCTACCCGCCCAACGGGGTGGATAACCTCGTGGAATTCGACGCGCTCTCCCTGATCCCCGGCAGCATCAGCCTTAAAGGTGGGATGCAGTTGGGTTGGGTGCGGTGCTGTGCCAGGTAGATGTCTCAAGGTAACCACCTGCTGCGATCCAAGGACCTGATGCAGACCATCTACCCGCCCAACGGGGTGGATAACCTCGTGGAGTTTGATGCTCTCTCCCTGATCCCCGGCAGCATCAGCCTCAAGGGTGGGTCGTGAAGTGGCACCAAATTTCGGGGTGGGAGGGGAGGGGAGGGAGAAGAAGGGAGGGGTAGGTGGGAGATCTAGGCGCTGGTTATGGTGTCAGGTATGGTAGATGCGTGTCAATAACCCCCTGCTGCACTCCAAGGACCTACAGCAGATCATCGGTGTGTGTCAGGTATATGTGCGATGCAGTTCGGTTGGGTGCGGTGTCACTAACCACCTGCTGCTGCGATCCAAGGACCTGATGCAGACCATCTACCCGCCCAACGGAATCGATAACCTCGTGGAGTTTGACGCGCTCTCCCTGATCCCCGGCAGCATCAGCCTCAAAGGTGGGGTATGTATCTTAGCAGTATCATATTTTATGGTGGGAGGGGAAGGAAGGGGAGGCTTTGACATGGAATGATTGATCAGGTAATGACACAACCTAACACACCCGTTCCTACCTCCCCCTACCCCCACCTTCTCATTCCCCCACCTCATTCCTGCCATTCTCCCCTCCACAAACCTCCCATCAGGCATGTTTGAGCCGCTGGACAACAAGTGGGTGCGAGCTGTGTTTGAGGCGCCAAGGCTAGGGTGACTTTCAAGTCCACTTCTTCCCGCCTTACCTTCCCCCTTCCCCATCTTCCCCTCTCCCCACTCTTTCCTCCCACCAGGCACGTTTGAGCCGCTGGACAGCAAGTGGATGCGGGCGGTGTTTGAGGCACCCTACCTAGGACTCAACTTCTTCCTGCCTCGCCTTCCCCATTCCCCACCTCCCCCCTTCCCCACTCATGCTTCCTCCCACCAGGCACGTTTGAGCCGCTGGACAACAAGTGGATGCGGGCGATGTTTGAAGCACCCAACCTCGCTCGTACGGAGGGCAGTCATCCGTGCGCCTCTCCGTGTCGTACCTTGATGACTCTCCCAAACCTCCCCCCTTCCCCACCTTCCCCTGACAAACCTCCCCCCTGCTTTGCCTTCCCCTTGCAAACCTCCCTCTCTGCTCCACCTTCCCCCTTCCCCACCGTCCTCTTCCCCCACTCTTTCCCCCCGCCAGGCACATTCGAGCCGCTGGACAGCAAGTGGGTGCGGGCGGTGTTTGAGGCGCCCAACCTCGCTCTGGGTGCGCTCAAGTTCTCTTACGGAGGGCAGTCGTCCGTGCGCCTCTCCGTGTCGTACCTCGATGAGCGTGTGCGCATCGGCCGAGGATCCCAAGGCTCCATCTTTGTATTTGCACGCCGCATGTAATTAGAGTAATAGAAATAGAGTGCGCTGCCCGATATTTGTACGGAGGGCAGTCGTCCGTGCGCCTCTCCGTGTTGTATCTCGACGAGCGTGTTTGCATCGGCTGAGGATCCCAAGGCTCCATCTTTGTCTTGGCACGCCGCACGTAATTAGAGTAATAAAATACCGTAGCGAGCAGGGTGCTGCCTGATACTTGTACGGAGGGCAGTTGTTTGTGTGCCTCTCCGTATCATACCTCGATGAGCGCGTGTGCATCGGCTGAGGATCCCAAGGCTCCGTCTTCGTGTTTGCACGCCGTACGCAACACGGACTCAGCCTCCGTAGTCATACATGCATGACATTCTAGGTAGTGTTCGTTGATGCTGTGTGTTTTGAGGCATTTGATTGCCATCACTCGTGTCGGAGGGTTTCTGTGTGGTGCAGATATCCCATCACATAGTTTACCGTGCAATCACGAGTTTCTGTTATGTTTTTGTTTGTTTGTTTTTTTGGTTAGTTTTTTTTTGTGGCTGGAATAAATAATGGTACCAGTAGTAATTCATAGTTCAGCCGAGTAGCACTTGGACCACCGGACTTGAGCTTAGGTTTGATTTGTATTTGAGCTACCCCCTCAAAGGGGGGTTACAATACCTCAACATGAGCGGAGAGTTGGAGCTTTTCTAACAGATGTGTGAGTTGTTGCTGTATGGAAACACGTGCATGAGATCCTTGTCATTTCAAAGCACATCAGTACAGGGGTACCATAGTATCTTTACCATCCACTTTTACCCATCAGCCCGTAGATCCTAGTCTAGACCATATCTACTCCGCAGCCCGCTTCCTACCTCGTTTCCGCCCTACCCTTGCAAATCATCATCATCACTAGGAAGTACCACCTCCAGGGTGCTTTTACCCTTCACCTTGCCCTTCCTGTTTTGAGACATTTCGGAAACATCATCATCGCTAGAAAGCACCACCTCTAACGTGTTCTTTCCCTTACCTTTGCCTTTCCTCTTACTTTTCCCTCCCTTCTCCTCCTCATCCCCTCCACTGGCCATATCAGCCCACTCCTTGGCACCATCCCCATCCACCACTCCCTCTCCTGCTACCCCTGCTGCATCAACCCCCTCCTCTGCTCCTTCTGCTCTCTCCTTCCCTCTCCGTTTCGCCGCCACCCTCCCAGCTCCCTTCGTTGCTTGACTCAACGGAAGTAGCTCGTGCTTCCCCTTCCCCTCACTTCCCCCCTCCTTCTGCTCCCTTTTCATAGCACTTCCCCCCTTTCTGTGCCCCCTCGACTTACCTCCCTTCTCTTCCACAACTTTCCCGCCTTCCTCCACCGCGCTTTCACCCACCACCTCTCCCTCCCCCACCCCTACATCCCCCCCGCCCACTCCTCCCTTCTTCCGTTTTGCAGCCCTAGCAGCCACCTCCTCCTCTTCATACTTCTTCCGCCAAAACTCCCACCTCTCCTCCATCTTATGATTCGCCTTCCTAATTTCCTTCCTCTCCTTCCTCCCAGCCTTCTTCACCTCCTCCTTCTTCTCCTTCTCCTTCCTCTCCACCTTCTTATACTCCAAAATCCACTGCCACGCCTCCACAGCCGCGTTCCACTCGGCAACTTTCTTCGTAGAAGCAGGCTCGCCGACAAAATCAATCCCTGCCGCAGCCCCGCCAAGCCGCATCGTGCATTGATACACCTTCTCCTTTTTCGTCCCGATCTGATCCGTGTAGTACCGAGGTTTGCCCAGGAAATGGATCTTGCAGTTGTTGTGAACATATGACTTGAAATCCTTCCCGACTTCCAGTTTCATGTCCACTGCTTTCGCCCGCACGGGTTTTATGGGCTTGGGTGGGGCGAGCTTTGGCTGGAGGCCGATTGTGAAGGTGCCTTGTGACTGCTCGCACTGCAGCAGGTCAGAGACGGCTCCCAGAATGGCCTCGTCTTCAGGTGTCAAGGGAAGGCGCGGGTTCTCCAGCTGCGTTGGGGTGTTCCAAAGGGAGGAGAAGAGGAGAAGGAAACAACACACGAGTGAGCTTTGGCTGGAGGCCGATGGTGAAGGGAAGGCGAGCGAGGGTTCTCCAGCTGCAATGAAACATTTGAGAAAGGAGGAGAGGAGATGAACACGCCATTGGCACGAAGAAGCCTTTTGAGGCGCATCGACAAGCTTTTGGCTTAGGGTTTTGCTGCGACAAGGCTACGGTGCCAAAACCTGGCATATGGCCTCAGCCCCAGTCAGAGTTACCACTCCTCACCTCACCTTGCGTTGGATCAGTGAGTCGAGTTCGGTCCATAAACCAAGCACAGAGCGGGCGGCGGCAGGCGGCATGAAGAATTCAAAGTAGCCGTCCAGCATGTGCAGATACCCGGGGTCCGTGGTGGGGGTGAGCGGCCCTCCGAAGAGCAACACAGCTGCATCTCACTTCACCTTGACGCATCCCTCATCACCCCTCACAATCACCCGAGACAGCTCCTTACCTTGCGTTGAATCAGGGCGTCAAGTTCAGACCGCAAGGCGAGCACGGAGCGGGCGGCAGCGGGCGGCATGAAGAACTCAAAGTAGCCGTCCAGCATGTGAAGATACCCGGGGTCCGTGGTGGGGGTGAGCGGCCCTCCGAACAGCAGCAGCCCCGCATCGGACACACCAGTGGAGTCACGGATGAAGACCGAGGTCGTCTTGATCTGTATGTGGTGGGCACAAGGGATGAATGGTGTGCTGGCTTCAGGGTTCAAGGGTACAAGAGACGGGTCGGTCGTGGGGGTGCGGCACTCCAAACAGCAGCAGTAAAGCTGCGTCGGACACACCAGTGGAATCGCGGATAAAGACGGAAGTTGTCTTGATCCAAGTTGTGAGAGCATGGGTGATGGGGGTGTAGAGTGGGGTCGGTGGTGGGGGTGAGTGGGCTCCCGAACACTGGTGGAATTGCGGATAAAGCCGGAAGTCGTCTTGATCTGATCGTGTGCAAGCATGGGAGATGTGCAGATGGGGTATGGCTGAGAAAAGGATAAAGAGAAGGTAAAGCAGATCTCGCCTTGATATAATTGTACAGGTATGGGTGGACCGTGGAATAGGGATTGGGCTTTAGGTTTCAAGGGTGGAGGTGTTTGCAGGTCTTCTGACATCTTCCAGTGAGCAGCAATGCTTAGGTTTAGGCTTAAGCATGCAGGAAAAACAGTGTAAATCTTAACACTAGCTAATAGCCGAGAGCGAGTAAGATTAACAAAAAATTCACTATTCCCCTGGTGTCTTGTGCACAATGAGTTTTGTATAAGAATCAGGCCATGGCCTTGCTGCTACCATGTTCATTGCAGAATGGATAGCGACATGACGGTCCATCCATTTCATCAAACCCATGCCAAGCCACCCATAATTGCCTTGTAATTGCCTTGTTGGAATGAGCCAAGCATATGTCATCGCACCTCCCACCACACCTCATGACGTAGGTCCAGCATTCCATGCCATCCCACCCATGCCATGCCATCCATGCCGTGCCATACATGCCATGCCATGCCATGCCATGCCATGCCACGTCATCACCTGCCACACACCAAATCACAGTACCTTTTCATTGAAGACCAGCCAGGGGTAGGGGAAGCGCGTGAGTCCAGCGTTCACAGAGGACTGCCAGGGATGGGGGATGGTGGGAATGGGGGATGAGAGGTAGTGGGGATTGGGAGACGGATAAGAGAAGAGGGAGGAGATAACGACAAGATGTTCTGGCTATACGCACTACACGAATGTATCACTCGCTACATGCATGCACCACATGCATGCACCACATGATCGTATCAGTGCACGCATAATTCCTCGGGTGGTACTGGTCCCTCCCTCCCTCCTCATCTGTGTTTCCCTACCCAAACTCACATGTACGGAATGAGCTCACCATGATTCACTACACATCTCACATCACAACAAATCTGCGCGCCTGCTGCATGTTCACCTCCCCGTCCTCCTCTGTCTCGAAACTTGTGCCGCTCAGCTACGTGAAGCGAGGTTGTTTTTGAGACGTCTCAAAAACAACCTCGCTTCACGTGCCTCCCCGTCCTCCTCTATCTCGAAACTTGTGCCGCTCAGCTGCTTCACGCACAGCCCGCTCCCCCCTCCACACTTTCTCTTTCACACTAGAAGAAAGGCGCATCTCACATTCACACATCTCTCGGCTACGCATCTCACATTCACACATCTCTCGGCTACGCATCTCACATTCACACATCTCTCGGCTACGCATCTCACATTCACACATCTCTCGGCTACGCATCTCACTAGACAGTTCGCACCTGGTGGATGTTCACCTCCCCATCCTCTTCCGTCTTGTAGGTTGTGCTGCGCGTGCGCTTCTGCACACGAGAAGCACGCGGGGAGGTGAATGGAGCTGAAGTGAGGTGGACATATATGCAGTGTATGGCTGCAGGTGAAGGGATGCGTCGGGTAATACAGTCAAATGAGTCAACAATCACACAATCACACAATCACACAATCACACACACGCAGACACAAACAGACACTCCCTCGCTCTCACCACAGCAGACGCCACCCCGGGAAACAGCCCGGCCAGCAGCGCTGCTCACACAAACTCCGGGTCGTTGCTCCTGCTGTTGGCGGGACACACAGTTGTATACACACACATGCACACAGCACACACGCGGACACAGCACACACGCGAATCCCTCACTCTCTCCCTCCCTCGCTCTCACCACAGCAGACGCCACTCCGGGAAACAGCCCGGCCAACAACGCAGCTCGAACAAACTCGGGGTCGTTGCTCCTGCTGTTGGCCTTGTCCATGCCCTTCTGCACGTCCACCAATCCCAGCTCGCCAAGTGTCCCCAGCAGCTGCCGCCTCAGCCCTGCTATTGCCTGGCGGATAGGCAGGGCAGCAGATGGTACAGTCGGAACATAATACGATTCGGTTACCATCTCGAGACAGTTGGCAGGGCCCAGTACAGATTGGAAAGAGATAATTTGGCCAGAAACTGGAGAAGAAAGTGTGACTGACGAGTATGGAGAAGCGTTTTGAGACGTCTCAAAACACTTCTTTTTTACAGAAATTGGAGAAGAAGGTGTGACTGACAAGGAAAAGAAAGGACGGGGACAAGACAACACAAGTTAACTGACAACAATAAATGAGCTACAACGAGAAATGAGAAATCTGGGAAATTTTTGTGCTTATAACCAGCAAGAATGATAATTTACGGCCGCAGAATTTACAGGTTTGAGACGTCTCACAACAAAGTACAGTACACCACCAAAACTGCTGCCGACCTTATGCGCTGTGAAAGTGCGTGTGAACCTTAGAATTCAGAACGCGAAAGAAGAGAAAGAAAGTTAAAACAGAGTCAGGATGTATCCATAACACCACCACGTGCCTGCATGGTGGGGTGCGATAGGAAGTGGTCGTAGCAGTACGCCCTGGCAGCGCTGTATCCGTCGCTGCGGCTGGTTGCTGATCCCAGAGCCGTCACCCACCCCTCGAACGCCCTCACTGCCGCGAAGTGGTCGCTGCAGTCGTCCCCTGCAAAGCGCAGGCGCACTGAATCAGCCACCTGATTCAAAGGGTAAGAGAGAAATGAATTGGGGAAGAATGGATTGAAGATGGTGGGTAAATGAATGGATGGATGGATGGACGGTCGGACGGACGGACGGACGGACGGACGGACGGACGGACGGGTGGACGGATGGATGGATGGATGGATGGATGGATGGATGGATGGATGGATGGATGGATGGATGGATGGATGGATGGATGGATGGATGGATGGATGGATGGATGGATGGATGGATGGATGGATGGATGGATCATGAGATACCCCTGAAGCAGCGGCGAAGTTCACCTCTCCCAATGCCCAGCGAGCAAGGGGTTGATCATCACATGACAAAGATACCCAAATCTTGCTTTGAGTTGACTCACAACATCTTGCGTTGGTGGCTGTTACTGAGTTGACAAATGAATCGGAGAGCAAGATTATGGAGCTATATCCCGCCGACAAAATAACTAAGTTCTTCAAGCTCTTCAAGCTATCCTGCTTATCTCCTTGATGATTCTATGGTTGTACTACATATGTGCACGCTTACAAAGATATTATCACACCATAACCTGCCTCATTCTCACCTCTCTTATCTGCTGGTCGCACCCACAGCTCTCTCTCACTAAGGGTAGCAGCTACAGTGAGCACAGGGTTCACACATGCCAGCACTGCTGCCATCACACCCCTTCATCTCCCCCTCATTTTCTTCTCACATCCCTTTTCACATACCCCTCCGCACCTCTCTCTTATCAGCCGGTCGCACCCACGGTTCTCTCTTGCTAAGAATAGCCGCCACAGTGAGCACCGGGTTCACACATGCTAGCACCGCCGCCATCCCTCCTCCTTCATCTGCGTGCCCCAATCTTACCTCTCTCTTATCTGCTGGTCGCACCCACGGCTCTCTCTCGCTGAGGGTAGCCACCACAGTGAGCACCGGGTTCACACACGCCAGAAGCCAAGCCACCCAGTGACTTACTTACCTCTCTCTTATCTGCCGGTCGCACCCACGGCTCTCTCTCACTGAGAGTCGCAGCTACAGTGAGCACAGGGTTCACACACGACAGCACCGCCGCCATCACTCCCTCGTCTCCCCCTCATCTGCGTGCCTCATTCTCACCTCTCGCTTATCAGCTGGTCGCACCCACGGCTCTCTTTCACTGAGAGTGGCTCCTACAGTGAGCACAGGGTTGACACATGAGAGCACCGCCGCCATCACCAGCATCTTCCCCACCCGTGGCTCCAGGGGCAGTGCTGTGAGGTGCCGACCTGGTGAAGGGGGAGAGAAAGGCAGGTTGGGTTGGGAGAGACGCGAGTTGTAGGGAGGAGAGGGAAGTAGAGGAGAGGAGAGGAGAGGAGAGGAAGGGAGAGGAGAGGAGAGGAGGAAAGGAGAGGAGAGGGGAGGAGACGAGATAAGAGGCAACAAGAGAAGTGGAGAGGAGAGGAGAGGAGACGAGAGGAGCGAAGAGGAGAGGAGAGGAGAGGAGAGGAGAGGAGAGGAGAGGTGAGGTGAGGTGAGGAGAGGAGATGATAAGAAGAGGAGAGGAGAGGAGAGGAGAGGAGAGGAGAGGAGAGGAGAGGAGAGGAGAGGAGAGGAGAGGAGAGGAGGAGAGGAGAGGAGAGGAAAGGAAAGGTGAGGAAAGTAGAGATACATGGCATGATGGGATGGGGGTAGCACATTGAGTTGGCCTGGGAGAAAGGTGCGGATGGAGAGGCACACACGCACGCATGAGGGACATGTTCATGCGATGCGTACCCAGTGGTGTGAGGCTTTCATCCTTGCCCATGTGTGTGTGTGGCATGTGAGAATGTGCATCTGCGCATGCCACACGCATGGGGTGGGGTGTATCATGTATGGCCACGCCACGCCATGCCATGCCATGCCATGCGATGCGTACCAAGCGGTGTGAGGTTCTCATCCTTGTCCATGTGTGTTGCATGTGAGAGCTGTCCATGTGTGTGGCATGTGAGAGCCAGGCGGTGACCATGCCATGCCATGCCATGCCATGCCACGCCATGCCACGCCATGCCACGCCATGCCACGTCATGCCACGCCATGCATGCGTACCAAGCGGTGTGAGGTTCTCATCCTTGTCCAGCGCCCCCACATCCTCCAGCAGCTCTATGGCATTGTCCACCTGCATGCATGCATGCATGACACACGGATGGCACAAGAATGGATGTGCACGCGGATACACGGACAGACGCATGAGAGAAAACATGAATACACAGGTGCAGAGATTAGCATGACGTACTAATCCTTCTCCAACGCCCCTACATCCTCCAGCAGCTCTATTGCATTGGCCCGCAGCAGCTCCGGCTGACCATAGGCCGGCAGAGCAGCAAACAGCGGGCGCGGGCACAGATGGAAACACTCGCTATGCCTAGACGCGTCACAGGTTTCCATCTGCCATTAGAATCCATCCCACCCACGTCCACTGCTAGCCATTCCCAAGCTCACAGCTAGAGGTACTGGTGACTGTACGGCCTTCCCCAGGAACTCTCCAATATTGCCCAGCCCAAGGGTCTTGATCTGCAGGCAATCGACAACCCATCCAAGGTCCAACTATACCCCCACTCACAGCTAGCGGCTCTGGCGGCTGTATGGCCTTCCCCAGGAACTCCCCGATGTTCCCCAGGCCGAGAGTCTTGATCTGCAGGCACAGCGAGTGCAGCGGCGCCCTCAGCAGCTCCGGCTGGCCATAGTCCGGCAGAGCAGCAAACAGCGGGCGCGGATACAGGTGGAAACACACCCCCGGCCGCACTCTCCCTGCGCGGCCCCGCCTCTGCTTCACAGAGGCCTTGGAGACCCACTGGGGGAGCAGGCACGGCACGTTGTTGACCGCGTCGTAGGAAGTTTCCTTGGCCTTTCCTGTGTCGATGACCAGGGCGACGTCGTTGATGGTGATGGAGGTTTCCGCCATGTTGGTTGCTAGAATGACCTTGGTGATTCCAGGAGGTGGCGGGTTGAAAATCAACTTCTGCTTGGGGGGAAAGAAGGGTAGGGGGAGATAGGGGGGTGCAGGTGGGGGAAGCGGGGCAAGGGCCACATCGGTGATGGTGATGGAAGTTTTCGCCATGTGAGGTGAAGTTTTCGCCATGTGAGGTGAAGTTCTCGCCATGTGAGGTGAAGTTTTCGCCATGTGAGGTGAAGTTTTCGCCATGTGAGGTGAAGTTTTCGCCATGTGAGGTGAAGTTTTCGCCATGTGAGGTAAAGTTTTCGCCATGTGAGGTAAAGTTTTCGCCATGTGAGGTAAAGTTTTCGCCATGTGAGGTGAAGATTTCGCCATGTGAGGTAAAGTTTTCGCCATGTGAGGTAAAGTTTTCGCCATGTTATCCCCATGTGAGGTAAAGTTACCATGGCATGTGAGCAGCAGCGCGCGGCTCTCATCTCCCAGCAGCGGATGCTCCCTCAGCCTGCCCTGTCCCGCATGACAAAATCCTTGTACCCCTCAGCCCACCTCAGCCCTTTTGACACGCACCTGCTCTTCAATGGGCATGCTGCCGTGGCATGTCAGCAGCAGCACGCGGCTCTCATCCCCCAGCAGCGGATGCTCCCTCAGCCTGTCCCGCATGCCAATAATATCATCCCACCCCGTCATAAACACCAGTATTGCGCCTGCATCCTTGCTCCCCACACTCTCTGCTGCGTCCTGCTTCCCTTCCCTCCTCTCCTCCTCCCTCTCCTGTATCCCATTTCTCTCCCTCACCGCCTCCCACCTCCCCTTCCCCTCTCTGCCCCAGTCTCTCCCCCCCTCTCTTCCCCCTTCCTTCTGCATCTGTGCCAGCAGCCGGGGGCCGCGCCGCACTGCAAACTCGAGAGCCGATTCGATGAGGGAGAACCCCACGCCCTCGCCCGTCCACTGCTGCATGGATCGTTGCACAAAGGGCGAGTGCGACGCAAACGAATGGTTGGTAAGAGCTTCCTGTGTGGCCGTGGGGGAGGAATCAGGGTGGGGGAGGAATCAGGGTGGGGAAGGGCATGGGTGGAATCGAAGGAAGGCAACGAATCCAATGAGTGAAAGAACAACCACGCCCTCAAAGCTCCACCGCTCCATGGAGCGTTGCACAAAGGGCGAGTGCGAGGCGAAGGAGTGGTGGGCGAGAGCTTCCTGTGTGGCAGAGGGAGGGGAATGTGGTTGGGGAACGGAAGTCCAATGAGTGGCAACTCCACGCCCTCACCAGTACACTGCTCCATGGAGCGTTGCACAAAGGGCGAGTGGGAGCGGAACAAGTGGTGGGCGAGAGCTTCTTGAAACGGCAGCGGGAGGAATTTGCAGGTGTTGAAGTTTGTCAGATTGCAAGGGAGGAGCGGCAGGGGCGGACGGACTAAAAAAAAACCACGGATGCATCATATCATACCATGGCTGCACGAAACGGCAGTGGTAACACAAAAGTCACAGAACTGACTCGCTAACTCGAGAGCTCATGTCTTGAGCCGAATTAAAAAAAGAAACCATGACTTCCCTGATCCCCCTGGGCAGTGCTTGAGCGAAGGGAGATACCATGAAGAAGAACCGCCGCTGACTTTTGAGTCGACTGAAAAATCAGGAAGGGAGATACCATGAAGAAGAACCGACGCTTTCACCGGCCCGGAAAGAATACCTGAACAAAGGAAGGTTCCAGGCTGTTTCTCCGCTTCTCCATGAGAGCCATCTGCCGCCTCCTCTTCCACTGCTGCTCGCTGCCGTAGTCGTCCACCTGTTGGGGTGTGGTGTGCGGTACGGTGCGGTGCGATTGGTTATGATGTGATGCGGTGCGGTAGTGTTACTTTGGAATGCAGTAAGGGTCAAGTAACCAGACATTGACTTGCTCTTCCACTGCTGCTCGCTGCCGTAGTCCTTGACCTGATAGGGTATGTGCAGTGGGGTGTGATGCGGTGGAGTTTGGTGCGGTGGGGTGGTGTCATTCAAAGAATCACAGTGACTTGTTCTTCCACTGCTGCTCACTGCCATAATCGTTCACCTGGGAGGCGTATGAGTGGTGTGGCGCGATGTGGTATGGCATGGTTTGTTTGTGTGCTTGTTTGTTTGCTTGTTTGTCTGTTTCTTTGATTTTTTTTTTTACATTTGACAAACCTGATGGTGTTATGGGGAATGCAATGCGGTATGTGATAATCAGATCAGACAGTAACTTGCTCGTCCACTAATTCCAATACATTAGTCATCCACCCGTGATGGAGTGGAAGAAATGTGACATACAACAAGGGCAGTGATTCTCAACTGGTACTGGGAAAGAAAGTGACGGGCAGTGCTGCAGTGGTGGGCCACAACGGGCAGCAGCAAAGAATAGTGAAGAAGTGTGGCGAGAAAAAAAAAAAAAAAAAGAAAAAAAAAGAAGAAAAAAAAAGAAGAAAAAAAAAAGCGTTACTCTCTTTTTCCCCAGAGGATACACACGATATACAGAGAAAAAGGGGAGAGGCATTGGGGTGGGGATGGATTATTCGTTCGAAGAGGGAGGGTGTGTTTGGGGGGGGGGGGGGGGGGGGATTTTCTTATCTCACCTGGTTATGAAAAGTGACCTCATGCCCTGTGAGCTCCAAGACATCTTCTAGAAAGTAGGACCGCACAGGGTATGTGAATCCCTGAGATGTTTCAACGGACGGAGGGGAAAGAATCAGGTGGGGGGTCAGGGAGGGGAAAGAATCAGGTGGGGGGTCAGGGAGGGGAAAGAATCAGGTGGGGGTTCAGGGAAGGAAAAACAGGGTTTGGGGATTTAGCCAGGATTCGCATGAAGTGCTTGATCCAAAATGTACGGACGCATAGGGGAGGTGATGCCCTAGTGGGGTTAGGAAAATGGGAAGAGCGGAGTGGTGGAGATGGTGGGACGTTTCCAAGTATTCAAGGAAGTGGGAGCAATAAGGGGAGTTGAAATTGTGGAAACTGATATTTCCTGCTGCTCAGCTATACTCTCTCAGCAATCTCCTCTTAGCAATCTCCTCTTAGCAATCTCCTCTTAGCAATCTCCTCTTAGCAATCTCCTCTTAGCAATCTCCTCTTAGCAATCTCCTCTTAGCAATCTCCTCTTAGCAATCTCCTCTTAGCAATCTCCTCTTAGCAATCTCCTCTTAGCGATCTCCTCTTAGCAATCTCCTCTTAGCAATCTCCTCTCAGCTATCCCCTCATTCATCCCCTCACCTATCCCCTCACCTACCCCCCCTCTCACCTATCCCTTCAGGCTTCATCTAGCTCTTCAGCTATCCCGTCAGGACATAGATACTGCCATGAGCACTCACCACTAGAATGTGCAGGGTGGGCGCGCCATTGAAGGACTGCGAGAACAGGTCATTGTTGACAGTGGCTCTCATTAGGCACAGAGAGTTTGGAGGCGCCTCAAAAGTCGCTCATAAGCATGAGCACTGAGAGACACATCGTGAGATGGGTATGTGCCCTACTGCCACCTTCCACTGCCAACAGCACTCACTGGGATGTGAAGTGTGGGAGCACGGCTGAAGTACTGCGAGAAGTGGTCCGCGTTGAGAGTGGCGGTCAGTGGCACTGAGAGGGATATGCCGGCCGCAGACAATTCCTTCAACTATCACCTCAGTTATCATCAGCAGCACATACCGGGATGTGCAGGGTGGGAGGGAGCACGGCTGAAGTACTGCGAGAAGAGGTCCACGTTGAGAGTGGCGCTCATGAGAGAACCCTACACACCTGTCACTTTAACAGTCACTGTCAGCACTCACTCACCGGGATGTGCAGGGTGGGCGCGCCACTGAAGTAGTGCGAGAAGAGGTCCGCGTTGAGCGTAGCGCTCATGAGCACGAGCTTTAGATCGGGCCGGCGGGGGAGCAGGTCTCTCAAAACAATGAGGAGGAAGTCTGGTTGTAGGGTAAGGGGGGGGGGGCGAAGAGAGTAGGAGGGACGGAAGACATGGGGGAGTAGAAGAGTCACGTTTGGAGCATTTTCAGACGTTACTCCAGTCCAGCTTCAGAGCAAGTGGGATGGTGGGAGAGCAGGTGGGTCTCAAGGCGATGAGAAGAAAAGTTTGATTTCAGAAGTTTCTAACGTCTCCTAAGCTGCAGCTCACCCGGTCTTCATGGCTGAGGGTCTCAAGATGATGAGAAGAAAGTCTGGTTGTGAAGGACGAGAGAATGAACAATAGGAATTCAACGCTCATGGCCCTCTGGTGAATCTCATTTTACGCCAGAGATTCACGCCTTTTGAATCTCAGGTGTGAATCTCATGGCCCTCTGGTGAATCTCATTTACTTGTCACACGCCTGAGATTCAAGCCTGTCAGCGATGGTTCACAAGGTTGTAAGCCTCTCATACGCCTTCGTGTGCCATTGTAACGAGGTGACTTTTGAGTCGATTCAAAAGACGCCTGAGATTCACGCCTGAGATTCACGCCTGAGATTCACGCCTGAGATTCACGCCTGTCAGCAATGGTTCACAAGGTTATAAGCCCTCTCATACGCCTTCTCCCTCCCCTTCCCCCGCTCACCCTCATTCATGCCCCTCTCGTGAATCTCGTCCACCACAATATGAGTCCCGCCCGTCAGCAGCAGGTCGGATGGTAGGAGCACAGCCTGTAACCCAGTTACCACCTCCCCTCCATCCCCCATGCTCACCCTCGTTCATGCCTCTCTCGTGAATGTCGTCCACCACAATGTGACTCACGCCTGTCAGCAGCGGGTCGGACACCAATGCAACACATCACAACACTGACCCCTCCCAGCCCCATCCCCATCCCTTCCCCTCCCTCCTCGCCTTCATTCATTCCTCACCCGTGAATCTCGTCCACCACAATATGCGTCACGTCACGCCTGTCAGCAGCGAATTAAACGGTTACAGCAAAACCCGCTACCCAGTTACCACCTCCCCTCCCCCCACTCACCCTCATTCATGCCCCGCTCGTGAATCTCGTCCACCACAATATGAGTCACGCCTGTCAGCAGCGGGTCAGACGCCAGGCGTCTCAGCAGCACGCCAGTGGTGCAGAACAGCAGGTGGGTGGCCCTGCTCCTGCGCGCTTCCAACCGCACTTGGTACCCCACCTGGTGAGTGAAAGGGGGGGTGGTGGTGGTGACAGCCAGTGGATGGGGGGAAAAGGGTCGGACGCCAGTCGTCTCAGAAGAACCCCCGTGGTGCAGAACAGCAGGTGTGTGACCCGGCTCCTGCGCGCTTCCAGACGCACTTGGTACCCCACGTGTTTGGAAGGGGTTGGGGGTTAGTGGTGAGTGAGAGGCAGTGGAGCGGGAAAGAAGGGGTCAGGCGCCATTGGTCTCAGCCGCACGCTGGTGTTGCAGAACAGCAGGTGGGTGGCTGGCTCTGCTCCTGCGCGCCTCTAAGCGCACGCACCTGGTACCCCACCTGGTACCCCAGCTGGTTTAGACAAGGGGGAAGGCTAGGCAGTGGATGGATGGGGAGACAAGGGTCAGATGCCAGTCGCCGCAGCAGCAGCATGCCAGTGCTGCAGAACAGCAGGTGCGTCGCTCTGGTCCTTCGAGCTTCTAGACGAACTTGGCAACCCACCTGAAAACGGATGTGGCAGAGTGAGGGGGAGTGGAGGGGTGGGTGTGTTCGGGGGGGTGTGTGGGCAAGGGCGGGCCGGACGCCAGTCGTCTCAGCGACACGCCCGTGGTGCAGAACAGCAGAAGCGTGGCCCTGCTCTTTCGAGCTTCCAAGCGAACCTGGAAGAGGTGGGACTAGGAAAGGGTTTTTCTCAGTGAGGGAATGGAGGGTCGGACGCCAGTCGTCTCAGCGGCACGCCCGTGGTGCAGAACAGCAGGTGTGTGGCCCTGCCAAGGCGCGCTTCCAAGCGGACTTAATACCCCACCTGGTTTGCGGGGGTAGGGGTGGGGAGGGAGGCATTGCATGGGGGTAAAGGAGCCAATGCCGGTTGTCTCAGCGGCACGCCCGTGGTGCAGAACAGCAGATGGGTGGCCGGCCCTGCTCCTTCGCGCTTCCAAGAAGACCCAGTACCCCACCTGGTAAGTGAAAAGGAAGGGGAGTTCGTTTGTGGTGAGAGGCAGTGGAAGTGGGGGGGGGGGGGGGGGGGCATCAAACGCAGTCGTCTCAGCAGCACCCCTCTCCCTCACCGGTGGTGCAGAACAGCATGTGCGTGGCCCTGCTCCTATGCGTCTCCAAACGTACTTGGTACCCCACCTGAAAAGGGATGTGGCAGAGTGAGGTAGAGCGAGGGGAGTGGTCGGGAGTGTGTGACAAGCGTGGCTCGGATGCCAGTTGTCTCAGCAGCACCTCTCTGAGATGCTGCTCTCTGCAGCATCTCAGTACAAATGATGGACCTCTCTGCTTTCTTCAACCATATCCTTGACTTTTGTTGACCAGCGTTGACTCAAGAAACGCACTGACTGACGATTGTTGACTTGGTTGACTTACCTATGCCCAATGCTCTCCCCCCTTTGAGCAGCAACCCTCTCTGCCACTGCCACTGCCGATATCCGCCAAGCCACGGCTGTGTGCAAATGATAGAGCACTGCACTCCCTGCCCTGCCCCTCTCCATACTTACCGATTGCCCTCTTTCGACAGCAACCCTCCCTGCCACTGCCACTGCCGATATCCGCCAAGGCTGTGTGCAAATGACGGAGCACTGCGCTCCCTGCCCTGCCTTTCTTCCCCTTGACTTTAGCTAGCTTGGGTTGACTCAGAGCACTCACCGACTGTCCAATGCTTTCCCCTCTTTCAGCAGCCACCCTCTCTGCCACCGCCACCGCCGATATCCTCCGGGGCTGAGTGCATATAATGGAGCTCTGCGCCCCTTCCCCCGATTCCACGGCATCTTCCAGCAGGTACTGCGGCAGCTGGGTGGTCTTGCCACACCCCGTCTCGCCAGACACTACAACCACCTGTGGCATGGAATGGGATGGCAGTGGGACGGGAGGGGAGGGGAATGGAAAGGTGGTGCAAATGATGGAGCTCTGTGCTCCTTCCCCCGACTCCACAGCATCTTCCAGCAGGTACTGCGGCAGCTGGGTGGTCTTGCCACACCCCGTCTCGCCCGACACCACCACCACCTGTAGCGGCAGGGCACGACAGGACACGGTGGCAACTGATTGAACAAAGCATTGCTCTGGGTGTGGGACATGGAGCTCTGTGCTCCCTGCCCCGACTCCACTGCGTCTTCCAGCAGATACTGCGTGGACTTGAAACACTCCGTCTCGCTGGACACCACCACCACCTGTGGCATGACATGGCATGCCAGTGGGAGGGGAACTGAAAGGTTGTTCAGTTCCAATGGAAGAGCTCTGCACTCCTTCTCCCGACTCCACTGCCTCTTCCAGCAGGTACTGGGGCAGCTGTGTTGTCTTGCCACACCCTGTTTTGGCCGAAACAACCACCTGCAGCAGTGATACACAACATGACACGGAGGCAACTGATTGAACAAAGAAGCACTGCTCTGCCATAGAACAGCCAGGCACTACCTGGTTGTTTCGCACTGCCTGCAGCAGCCGCTCTCGCCTCATTCCACGCAGGCAGGCTCTGCCTCAACGTCAGCAAGAGCAGTCAGGCCCATCTCGCGGTTATCTGGTTGAATTAGACAGCCTGCCTACAGCACAATATTTCACCCGAGCCCATGGTTACCTGGTTTCTTCGGACTGCCTGTAGCAGCTGCTCTCGCTCCTTCCATGCGGGCAGGCTCTGCCTCAACGCCAGCAACAGCTGTTAAGCTAGAGCTCACTACAAGACTGCACCCGAACCCAAGCCTACCTGGTTATTTCGCACGGCCTGTAGCAGCCGCTCTCGCTCCTTCCACGCGGGCAGGCTCTGTCTCAACGCCAGCATGGATGCCCCTTCCGGTGATGCCTGCAGGGAAGCGGAGCATGCAGAGAAGAACTCAGCACGGGAGATGGTATGCATGTATACTGCTGCTCGCTGGATCATGTCTAACAGTCTGAACTCAGCATGGGAGATGGTATGCATGTATACTGCTGCTCGCTGGATCATGTCTAACAGTCTGAACTCAGCATGGGAGATGGTATGCATGTATACTGCTGCTCGCTGGATCATGTCTAACAGTCTGAACTCAGCATGGGAGATGGTATGCATGTATACTGCTGCTCGCTGGATCATGTCTAACAGTCTGAACTCAGCATGGGAGATGGTATGCATGTATACTGCTGCTCGCTGGATCATGTCTAACAGTCTGAACTCAGCATGGGAGATGGTATGCATGTATACTGCTGCTCGCTGGATCATGTCTAACAGTCTGAACTCAGCATGGGAGATGGTATGCATGTATACTGCTGCTCGCTGGATCATGTCTAACAGTCTGAACTCAGCATGGGAGATGGTATGCATGTATACTGCTGCTCGCTGGATCATGTCTAACAGTCTGAACTCAGCATGGGAGATGGTATGCATGTATACTGCTGCTCGCTGGATCATGTCTAACAGTCTGAACTCAGCATGGGAGATGGTATGCATGTATACTGCTGCTCGCTGGATCATGTCTAACAGTCTGAACTCAGCACGGGAGATGGTATGCATGTATACTGCTGCTCGCTGGATCATGTCTAACAGTCTGAACTCAGCATGGGAGATGGTATGCATGTATACTGCTGCTCGCTGGATCATGTCTAACAGTCTGAACTCAGCATGGGAGATGGTATGCATGTATACTGCTGCTCGCTGGATCATGTCTAACAGTCTGAACTCAGCATGGGAGATGGTATGCATGTATACTGCTGCTCGCTGGATCATGTCTAACAGTCTGAACTCAGCATGGGAGATGGTATGCATGTATACTGCTGCTCGCTGGATCATGTCTAACAGTCTGAACTCAGCATGGGAGATGGTATGCATGTATACTGCTGCTCGCTGGATCATGTCTAACAGTCTGAACTCAGCATGGGAGATGGTATGCATGTATACTGCTGCTCGCTGGATCATGTCTAACAGTCTGAACTCAGCATGGGAGATGGTATGCATGTATACTGCTGCTCGCTGGATCATGTCTAACAGTCTGAACTCAGCATGGGAGATGGTATGCATGTATACTGCTGCTCGCTGGATCATGTCTAACAGTCTGAACTCAGCATGGGAGATGGTATGCATGTATACTGCTGCTCGCTGGATCATGTCTAACAGTCTGAACTCAGCATGGGAGATGGTATGCATGTATACTGCTGCTCGCTGGATCATGTCTAACAGTCTGAACTCAGCATGGGAGATGGTATGCATGTATACTGCTGCTCGCTGGATCATGTCTAACAGTCTGAACTCAGCATGGGAGATGGTATGCATGTATACTGCTGCTCGCTGGATCATGTCTAACAGTCTGAACTCAGCATGGGAGATGGTATGCATGTATACTGCTGCTCGCTGGATCATGTCTAACAGTCTGAACTCAGCATGGGAGATGGTATGCATGTATACTGCTGCTCGCTGGATCATGTCTAACAGTCTGAACTCAGCATGGGAGATGGTATGCATGTATACTGCTGCTCGCTGGATCATGTCTAACAGTCTGAACTCAGCATGGGAGATGGTATGCATGTATACTGCTGCTCGCTGGATCATGTCTAACAGTCTGAACTCAGCATGGGAGATGGTATGCATGTATACTGCTGCTCGCTGGATCATGTCTAACAGTCTGAACTCAGCATGGGAGATGGTATGCATGTATACTGCTGCTCGCTGGATCATGTCTAACAGTCTGAACTCAGCATGGGAGATGGTATGCATGTATACTGCTGCTCGCTGGATCATGTCTAACAGTCTGAACTCAGCATGGGAGATGGTATGCATGTATACTGCTGCTCGCTGGATCATGTCTAACAGTCTGAACTCAGCATGGGAGATGGTATGCATGTATACTGCTGCTCGCTGGATCATGTCTAACAGTCTGAACTCAGCATGGGAGATGGTATGCATGTATACTGCTGCTCGCTGGATCATGTCTAACAGTCTGAACTCAGCATGGGAGATGGTATGCATGTATACTGCTGCTCGCTGGATCATGTCTAACAGTCTGAACTCAGCACGGGAGATGGTATGCATGTATACTGCTGCTCGCTGGATCATGTCTAACAGTCTGAACTCAGCATGGGAGATGGTATGCATGTATACTGCTGCTCGCTGGATCATGTCTAACAGTCTGAACTCAGCATGGGAGATGGTATGCATGTATACTGCTGCTCGCTGGATCATGTCTAACAGTCTGAACTCAGCATGGGAGATGGTATGCATGTATACTGCTGCTCGCTGGATCATGTCTAACAGTCTGAACTCAGCACGGGAGATGGTATGCATGTATACTGCTGCTCGCTGGATCATGTCTAACAGTCTGAACTCAGCATGGGAGATGGTATGCATGTATACTGCTGCTCGCTGGATCATGTCTAACAGTCTGAACTCAGCATGGGAGATGGTATGCATGTATACTGCTGCTCGCTGGATCATGTCTAACAGTCTGAACTCAGCATGGGAGATGGTATGCATGTATACTGCTGCTCGCTGGATCATGTCTAACAGTCTGAACTCAGCACGGGAGATGGTATGCATGTATACTGCTGCTCGCTGGATCATGTCTAACAGTCTGAACTCAGCACGGGAGATGGTATGCATGTATACTGCTGCTCGCTGGATCATGTCTAACAGTCTGAACTCAGCACGGGAGATGGTATGCATGTATACTGCTGCTCGCTGGATCATGTCTAACAGTCTGAACTCAGCACGGGAAATGGTATGCATGTATACTGCTGCTCGCTGGATCATGTCTAACAGTCTGAACTCAGCATGGGAGATGGTATGCATGTATACTGCTGCTCGCTGGATCATGTCTAACAGTCTGAACTCAGCATGGGAGATGGTATGCATGTATACTGCTGCTCGCTGGATCATGTCTAACAGTCTGAACTCAGCACGGGAGATGGTATGCATGTATACTGCTGCTCGCTGGATCATGTCTAACAGTCTGAACTCAGCACGGGAGATGGTATGCATGTATACTGCTGCTCGCTGGATCATGTCTAACAGTCTGAACTCAGCATGGGAGATGGTATGCATGTATACTGCTGCTCGCTGGATCATGTCTAACAGTCTGAACTCAGCATGGGAGATGGTATGCATGTATACTGCTGCTCGCTGGATCATGTCTAACAGTCTGAACTCAGCATGGGAGATGGTATGCATGTATACTGCTGCTCGCTGGATCATGTCTAACAGTCTGAACTCAGCATGGGAGATGGTATGCATGTATACTGCTGCTCGCTGGATCATGTCTAACAGTCTGAACTCAGCACGGGAGATGGTATGCATGTATACTGCTGCTCGCTGGATCATGTCTAACAGTCTGAACTCAGCATGGGAGATGGTATGCATGTATACTGCTGCTCGCTGGATCATGTCTAACAGTCTGAACTCAGCATGGGAGATGGTATGCATGTATACTGCTGCTCGCTGGATCATGTCTAACAGTCTGAACTCAGCATGGGAGATGGTATGCATGTATACTGCTGCTCGCTGGATCATGTCTAACAGTCTGAACTCAGCACGGGAGATGGTATGCATGTATACTGCTGCTCGCTGGATCATGTCTAACAGTCTGAACTCAGCATGGGAGATGGTATGCATGTATACTGCTGCTCGCTGGATCATGTCTAACAGTCTGAACTCAGCATGGGAGATGGTATGCATGTATACTGCTGCTCGCTGGATCATGTCTAACAGTCTGAACTCAGCATGGGAGATGGTATGCATGTATACTGCTGCTCGCTGGATCATGTCTAACAGTCTGAACTCAGCACGGGAGATGGTATGCATGTATACTGCTGCTCGCTGGATCATGTCTAACAGTCTGAACTCAGCACGGGAGATGGTATGCATGTATACTGCTGCTCGCTGGATCATGTCTAACAGTCTGAACTCAGCACGGGAGATGGTATGCATGTATACTGCTGCTCGCTGGATCATGTCTAACAGTCTGAACTCAGCACGGGAGATGGTATGCATGTATACTGCTGCTCGCTGGATCATGTCTAACAGTCTGAACTCAGCATGGGAGATGGTATGCATGTATACTGCTGCTCGCTGGATCATGTCTAACAGTCTGAACTCAGCATGGGAGATGGTATGCATGTATACTGCTGCTCGCTGGATCATGTCTAACAGTCTGAACTCAGCACGGGAGATGGTATGCATGTATACTGCTGCTCGCTGGATCATGTCTAACAGTCTGAACTCAGCACGGGAGATGGTATGCATGTATACTGCTGCTCGCTGGATCATGTCTAACAGTCTGAACTCAGCACGGGAGATGGTATGCATGTATACTGCTGCTCGCTGGATCATGTCTAACAGTCTGAACTCAGCACGGGAGATGGTATGCATGTATACTGCTGCTCGCTGGATCATGTCTAACAGTCTGAACTCAGCACGGGAGATGGTATGCATGTATACTGCTGCTCGCTGGATCATGTCTAACAGTCTGAACTCAGCACGGGAGATGGTATGCATGTATACTGCTGCTCGCTGGATCATGTCTAACAGTCTGAACTCAGCACGGGAGATGGTATGCATGTATACTGCTGCTCGCTGGATCATGTCTAACAGTCTGAACTCAGCACGGGAGATGGTATGCATGTATACTGCTGCTCGCTGGATCATGTCTAACAGTCTGAACTCAGCACGGGAGATGGTATGCATGTATACTGCTGCTCGCTGGATCATGTCTAACAGTCTGAACTCAGCACGGGAGATGGTATGCATGTATACTGCTGCTCGCTGGATCATGTCTAACAGTCTGAACTCAGCATGGGAGATGGTATGCATGTATACTGCTGCTCGCTGGATCATGTCTAACA